TTTGTTTAATAATAATAATCCTTGCATTTGATATAGCGCCTTATGACGTCTTCAAGACGTCTAAAAGCCCTTCACAGAATAAACTGTAAAATGTGCTTTGGTGTAAATTCTTCTGGTGAAACGCATATAGATGCAATCGGTTGTTGCGTGTTTGCCCACAAAAAACAGCCACTACACTAATTAATAATAAAAAAACAAAAACAGAAGTCGACGGGAAAACTCAGCAGGTCAGGCAGCACCTATGGAGAAAGGAAAGTGAGTCAACGTTTCGGGTCCATGACCCTTCATCAGAACTGGTCACGTCGAAGAGAAGAGGGGAACTTCTTCAAGGTAGGCATTCCTAGGAGGAATTAATAATACCTGCAAGTGTTGTTGGATGCTTTAACATTATTGGGGGGGCTATGTTAAATGCAAGGATTATTAATGGAATGAAAAAGTCGCTGAATTGGCCATCCAGATCGGGTAAACACCGGGTTCAGGTTAATTCCCTGGTGTGGTGCTTGATTTTAGTTACACCAGTAACTGGTTTCAGTGACCTTAAGGCAGCAAGCGACCAAGGGTAAAGGACTGAAGAGAAAATGAAAGGCAAAACAATTGTGCACGAAAGAAACATTTAGCTGGTGGTTCATCGACCGAGATAGCAACAAGTGACTACGAGGCTGAAAAATGCGACCAGCACAAGATCCCCATTGTTCACCCTCAGCCCTGACCATGGGCACGGGGCAACTGCAAGGCTCAGATAGCACCGGCTTAATCCCTAAAGCCAGGCCACAGTATGTGTGTCATTTGCAGTGTTATCAGCTGTTTAAGACGCTCTCTGACAAAGTACATCCAGACACGAGTTGGAATTCAACCACCCTCACACCTGACTGTGTAGTGTCCTCATATACACGACCTGTGTGTGACCGGACATCACACCAACAGGGGAGTGCACACTGTCAGTCCTTATTTATAAACTAACGCCATAAATCAACAGTACACTGCCTCTTTATTGACCCCCATTACCTCTCTCTCTACTATAGCTTTATCCAGGAGTCACATAGAGAGTAGTGGTTAGAGCACTCGCCTCACAAGCGAGAGAACCCAGTTTCAATTCCTGGACAGGGCGAAATCTTAGGCAAGAGTCCACACACCTCTGTTTACTTATCAGTAGGTAGAAACCCGATAGATAGTCGATTGGCGGATCACTTTCCAGTGGTAATAATTCCTCCCCTCCAAAAAAATGTGTTCACTCAATCCACGACGACTTGTGGGACACTATTGTCCGTAATTGGCTGCCACATTTCACCCACAAAATATACAGTCAATTCACTTTATAGTATATTCTGTGAAGCGCATTGAGACGTCCCAACAATGCGATAAGGCGCTATATCAAGTGCAAGGATTCTTCTTTTGTTTTTGATACTGAGGATGCTTTTGCAGCCCCCTGTCACCTTCTTGCGCAATTGACCTTTCAACCTAGCTCAGTGGATAGCGCTTTCACCTCCAAGTTAGAAGGTTGTGGGTTCAAACCCCAAATAAGGATTTGAACTCGCATCCCAAATAATCCCTCCACAGAAAACAAATTTGGTCTCTCAATCCACGACTGTTTGTGAGACACTTCTGTGCACAAGTGGCTGTCGGGTTTTGCCCACAAATACACAGTCAATCCACTTTACAATATATTCTGCGAAGCGCTTTGAGATGTCTCAATGATGTGTTAAGAAACTATATCAAACGCAAGGATTATTATTATTCACACACGAGGTGTACCGGGCCGACACTCCAGTGCAGTGCTGGGGATGTGCTGCATTGTTGGAGATGCCATCCTTCAGAATTAAATTGAGGTCCCATTTGCCTGTTTCCCTTCTCTTTTCGATTAGTGCCTGGTGAGCTTTAATATCTACCTGAGATGCCTGATCCACAGCCAATGGGACCTCGGTTTAACGTCTCACCTGAAGTACGGCACCTCCAACAATGCTTTACAGCACTGCATTGGAGTGTCAGCATAGACCGTGTGATCCCAAATTCTGACGTGGGATTTGAACCCACAACCTTCTGACTCAGAGGCAAGAGGGCTACCACGCACCAGGCTGGATTACTATTATTCGTTCGCCCACAAATATGCAGTCAATTCACTTTACAGTATATTCTGTGAAGCGCTTTGGGACGTCTAGAGAACATGAAAAGCGCTATATCAAATGCCAGGATTATTATTATTATTATTATTCTCAGGCGCTTTGTCACCCTGACAATGCAGCCCTCTGCCCAGCCCTGCACTGTGGTTTTCAGCAGAGGATATGAGCTCAAGTGCAGGCTTGGGAGCACAAACCCACAACCTCCTGTCTCAGAGGTACGAGTGCCAACACCTCTGGGCCAAGCCACCGAGGAAATGTATCTGTTTAAAAATAGAGGTTTGAAGGTTTAGAAGTGCAAACACTCCTCACGTACAGAACTTCCAGTAGATGAATGCGGTGTGTACTCAACACAGAGTGAATAATTAGAGTTGTTCTGTGCTGTTTCCTGTCAGCAGTCTGAGTGGGGCAATAACAGAAGGGTTTATGTACCGTATTGGTTAAAGCACTCGCCTTGCAAGCGAGGGGACCTGGTTTTGATTTCTGGTTAGGGTGAAACCTTAGGTGGGTTTCTTTACTCCACACACTTCAGTAAGAAGGAACTTGGTTATGAGTCGATTGGCGAATTGCTTTCCGGGGGTAATAATCCCTTCAAAAATAATTGTTGTGCGCAATTGTCTGGGCCCACAAAATATACAGTCAATCCTCTTTACAGTGTATTCTGTGAAGCTCTTTGCGACGTCGCAACGAAATGATAAGGTGGTTATTTTTGATGCAAGGATTATTATTACTGTCTGTTTAATGGGTGCGATACTGCCCGATGGATGCGCAGAAAGACCAGATGGTATCAAGAGGCTAACTGGGTTTTGACTGTAGGTCTCAAGCCTGGAGAACACTGACCATACCATTGGCCAAAACTGTCCTACACAAAGGACCTTCTGTTGTCCTGCAGCTCTCATTTGTGTTGTTAATTCATTCAAGATAAGGTCTTGTCACCGGGACAGTTCTAGAGACTGGTCCGAAAGCCATTGGCAGCAATTGTGCCTTTTTGATGGGATTTCAATCAGTGAATGATAAGGAAATCTGTCATCTTAAGAGAATCTTCCAATCTGCAACATTGGAGAAAAAAATAACTAATATCTCTACAAGTTTTGAACTTGGTTAGACGACCTGATGAACAGCTATGTCAAATGCAAGGATTATTAAACCATAAAACAAAATGATGAACTGAGAAAAGACAGTTTGTACAGCAACGGAACAGTGATAGGTAAAATAAACAGCTGTTTATTGTCAGCAGGAACCAAAACCCCAGCGTGTGCTTTGGGGTAACTGCTGAAGTCTAACCAGTTCAAATTAGCTTTTATTGAGAGCACTTTCTTGCTGCTTGTCCAGCTAGGACTACCCTTCCATTAGGGTTTTGGCTTGCAGGGTTAACAGAAGCAGAGTGGGAAGAGTCCTTGCCCCCGGTGACTGGTCTGTTCTTCCAAGTCCTGCCGATCATCAGCAGTGCCTTGGAATACTATGGACCCACCTGCATCAAACTGCATCAAACATAAACGAAATGGCTGCATCAAATACCTCCAAATGCTAAATTGAAAACTCTGTAGCAGTTTCAACAGAATATAAAAATAGCTGGGGTGACCTGTGCGAGTAGCGATGAGAGGCAGCACTGCCTGTCAATCACAGCTGGTGCTCTCTGTGTAAAAGGAGCCACATGGCGAGGGATAGAGACATTTGCTGTGTGCAAACAGGTCTCTGGCCTCCCGATCGGAGTGTGATACCAGCCCCCGCCAACGCACTTCTCATCAGCTGGGCTAGCCAAGCAGATTCTTCTTTTCCTCATCTCCAAGCCAGCTGCTGCTTGGCAGCAAGTGTTTGCTCAAGAGGTGATGGTGGGAGTGGGGCGTGGGTGGGGGAGGAATGACTTACGCATCACTTCACTGGAGGACAAAAACCTTAGGCGAAGGTTTGTGAACTGGATGGTGTAGAGTGAGGAAGTATCTATTCTGAATTGTGTTCTCTATTCCCCTCCCCCACTGCCCCCATAACTCGGTGAGTAATTCACTTCACGCCATATGACGCTGACACATATAGATCACAAGGTTTCCTAATATATCGCACCCCCGGCAGGATATCACACTGTGAGGTATTCGAATTTAACACTAGAAGACAGTGGTGACCAACTTTTACCGTTGGCCAACAAAATAATTTTTTTCTTGTTTGAATATGTCCCGATTTATGGCGTAAGTTCTATACGAATGCTGGTTGTTCTTGTTGTTATTCGAACTGTGAGGTATTCAGATATCAGACTGTAAAATGTCAGGGTTATTCTACTCTTAAATTAACTGAAACGGGTGAAACTGTTTGGAATTGCAATTCCTTTTAGATGGAAATTGCACTCTCACGCCTCTCTCCCCGCCCCTCCCACCTTCGCCTCCCCCCTCTTCCCCCCCCCCCTTCCCCCCCACCACCCACTCTCTGATCAGAGTTGGAGACTTCGGATCTAATCCCCAAAGTCTGACAGCAACATCTGGATTTCCTGTTTCTGTCAATGGGAATCCAGGGGCTGATCTATAAGTATAATTTACAGGGGAAATGAGTAAACTCTTGGACACACCACAGCCATGCAGATGTTTCATTGGCCTGTACCCAGGACCTAAACCCTATGTGATCATCAAAAATTTGGTGTTTGCAAGCAAGAAATTCTTGTCAATAAATTCACAGTGTGAGCAGGTTTCCTGCCCTGACTGTATTGTTCTGACAGAACCAGACAACTGTATACACCCAGCAAACCATTCGCCTCTTTTTCTCGTGTTGGTGTTTTTGGTTCCCCCCCACCAAGAAACCATCCATCCTAATCTAATTCCCTGCTCTTCATCCCTTCCCTTCTAAAAATAAAAATAATTGTGTTCTTCTTCCACTGTTTCGTGTGATTGTTTTCATCAGAATCTTATGGCCAAAGCCCTGTATGATAACCGGGCAGAGACGGCAGATGAGCTGGCATTCCGTAAAGGAGACATCCTGACGGTGATTGAGCAGAACGTCAAAGGCAACGCGGGATGGTGGAGATGCTCTCTTCACGGGCGCCAAGGTATTGCCCCTGGCAACCGTCTCCAGCTCCTCGCCAACCCCAAGCAGGACGAGCCTCCCACCTATGTGTCACATTACTTGAGCAGGTGCCAATCCACCGGGCCGAACATTTACCAGGTCCCGAGCACCACCAGCTTCGAGGCTCCTTCCAAGTGTGCCGTCTTCCCTCTGGCCAGGAGCAGTGGGTATCAAGTCCCCAACACCCCGCAGTCCTGTGCTCAGATCTACCAAGTCCCGACCATGTCTCCTGCAGGACCACACCATGATCTGGATCCAGCAGCGGCACGTCAGGTAAGGGTCGGATCCACTTAACTGGGGAATAAGAGGGGCTCAGGTGAGGGCTTTTCCCCCGGACAGGTCAAACATTAAGTGCTCCAAGATGCTACCCCGAGTGAAGGGCGCTATATAAATGGAAGTTGTTGTTGACACAGTAATTCGACTGAGACATTAAACCGAGGCCCTCGCTGCCTGTTCTGGTGGATGATAAAGATCTCGCAGTGCTAATCAAAAAAAAAAGGGAGTTTCTCCCTGCCCCGTGTCCTGGCCAACAAATTCTCCCGGATAAAATTGGTTGCACACTCCATAACTGTTTGTGGGACACTGCTGTGCACAATTGGCTGCCACTTTCTGCCCACAAAATACACTGTCACTGCACTTTACAGTACATTCTGTGAAGTGCAGTGAGACGTCTCGAAGACGCAATAAGGCGCCATATCAAATGCAAGGATTATTATTGTTATGAAGAGCTTCGTTTTTAAAGAGGGTTTTGAAGGCTGGAGAGGAGGCTTAGGGAGAAGGCAATTTGGGAGGGTCCAGCGAGCAGTAGCTGGGCCCTGGATGTTTGAGTGAGTTTTTGGGTTCAGCTTTAACTACATTACAGAGCAGCTCAGGGATCGTATGATTCAAATAATTCCCTTCGAGGTTGCTTGTAAGGCATTGAGATTGTTAGCATAGCTCCCGGAGCCTCAGCTGTTTATCAACAGGTGTCTGAGGCAATGGTGTCCGCATCTGTCAGGCAGTGTGAACAGAGAAGGATTTAAAGGGCCAAAGTGGCCATTTTTAAAAGGACAAATCACAACGCCATGTTTACAAACAGAGGCCGATTGACATCTCGATGATGTCATTGTGCCATGATGGCTAGAAGATCAATCACCCCCCACTCCCCTCCAACCTCTCCCCTCCAACCTCCGCTCCTCTCTCCTTCCCTGATGGCACTGGCTTGTGTTGGACTATGGTTCCATTGCTACCCACCCAACAAAAGAGAGAATTTGCCTTTTTTATCGTGGCTGATTTTGCTAAAACGTCTCATTTTGCTCATAAAAATACACAGTCACTCCACTTTACAGTATATCCTGCGAAGCGCTTTGAGACATCCCATCGATGTGATAGATGTGCTGTATCAAATGGAAGGATGCCTTGTCACCCAGATTGGTGCCAATCCGGACCGGAAGGCCTCTTCACTATGTCTGGCACACGAGCGGAGGGGATGACATTGGATTCTCCTATTTTCCCAAATCCGCACTCACGGGAAACTACGGTCTCCAGGAAAATTGGATAAAGATAATAACAATAATAATTCTTGCATTTGATAATAGTGCCTTATCATGTCATCACAACGTCTCAAAGCTCTCCACAGGATTTGACAGTGAAGTCTAGTGACTCGTAATTATGAGTGAACAATCCTAACACTGGGCCTGACAATCCCGCTCGTTTCGGTATGAGGTCCTGGAAGTGCTCAAAGGGTTAACCTTCGGCATCCAACATCGATCATCAACATCTGTGCGGCAGACTATCACATGGCGGCCACTAACTGCAGCTTTTATTTGCCAAAGAGGAGAAGGTCCCTTGGGAGGCGTCCATGATGGCTCCCAAGGGGACTTCTCCTCTTTGGCAAATACAGGCTGCAGTCACTGGCCTCCATGCGTTATTCTGCAGCACAGATGTTGATCTGCTGTACAGATGTTGGGCAAAGGAGAAGGAAGTGTTTGGAACCAGTTGTCACGGAAACTGGTGGATCTCAGGACTTGATCCAGCAAAGCAGAGATCCAGAAATGTACAAAGTCTAGGCAATCTCCCAAATAGGCCGGGTTACGGACAAAATGATCAGGCACATGGTTTGGGTCTGTTAGATCTACCACTGTGTCACAGGGTTTCACGGGCTCCGTACATCCGTGGCCAATCTGCAGTCCACTAAGCACAGTGGTTAGAGCATTCGCCTCGCAATCAAGAGGAGCCGGGTTTGATTCCTGGGCGGGGTGAGACCTAAGGCAAGTTTCCTTATTCCACACGCCTCTGTTTATCCAGCAGTAAGTAGGAACCCGGTTGTTAGTCGATTGACGGATTGCGTTCCAGGGGTAATAATCCCTTCCAAAATCTGATCATTTAATCCACAACTATTTGTGCAACACTTCTGTGGGCAATTGGCTGCTGTGTTTCACCCACACTTTGAGATATCTCAACGATGTGATAAGATGTTATATCAAATGCAAGGTTTATTATTATTATTACAAATACACATCACTTGGCAGCAATTCCCTGCGAAGCATTTTGAAGTAATTCAACATTAAAGACACTATATCAGGCGCAAGTATTATTATCAATAATAAAGAACATAAATAAATAGAATAATAATTTGGTCACTCAATCCACGACTGTTTGTGGGACACCGCTGTGCGCAGTTGGCTGCTGCGTTTCGCCCACAAAATGCACAGTCAATTCACTTTACAGTATATTCTATGAAGCGCTTTGAGACGATTCGACGATGTGATTAAGGCGCTATGTCAAATGCAAGGATTATTATTATTGTAACATATATACTCCCAGTAAAACATCGGCTGGGTGGGAGTGACTGTCTGTTCTGATTCCATCCTCTTTACCTCCACATTTTCTCCCTATCTCCATTCCTACCCGTCCTCCTCCCTCTCTTTGCCCTCTGAGTTTCACTCCCCCCCACCCGCCCCACCCCAACACACTCTTTCTCTACTTCACTCCCTCGCACGGGCTCCCTCTCCTCCCTCCTGTATCGGTGTTGCTCAACGGTGCCATTTCAAACACTGTGCAAATCAACTCTTTGTACCTAACAGGAAACAAAGTAGGCGACAGTATGGGTGGATCTGGGCTGTGATTCCAGGCTGAGTTACAGCAATGTTTCAGTGCTCCCAATCACCGCGTGAAATTCCCGGGTGGAAGAAGGCACACAAAAGAGGTCCCGGTCGAAAGATCACAAATGCACCTCTGCGGAGGAGCGAGTTAGCTCCCCGAGTCTGTGTAACACTCTGCCGAGACCCTCAGCCACCCTCCATCAATCTGGCAGGACAGACAAAGCCTCTAGTTTACATTCATGCCCTGTTCCCGGCTTTCCTGCCTCCGTCCAGCTGGCACACGAGCAGATGAGAAACAATTTGCAGCTGACCTCGGAATGTTTCATCATCCCGGGGCATCTCTTAGCAACGTCAAGCCGTGTGTGCTGTTCCCTCACTGATGCAGAGAGTGCTGTTACTCCACAGCCTGAACTGACCCGTTACACTTTACCACACGTAGAACTGTGGAGCAATGATCGTTAACACTCCCCACTCGCCCCTGGTAAAGCCACTGAGCCACGCAGAGCAGGTATCTCGTGGCTCCCAGAGCTTTCAACAACAACAACTTGCATTTATGTCACGCCCCTCACGTAGGGTAACATCCCTGACAGTGGAGGAGCATGACGCCGAGCCAGGAGGAGGGGGGGGGAGGTGACCATAGGCACTGTCCAAGAGGAAAATCTTCAGGCGCTATCTGAAGTTCGGGAAGGAAGGGGGCAAGGCGGAAGGGTAGAGGAAGAGTGAGATCCGAGGCCTGAAACAAATACAAGTTTCAAGTTTATTATATTTTAATTCCATCCTTATATTTTGGGGTTAAAAAAGACACTTATCACGTCGTTGAGACATCTCAAAGTGCTTCACAGGATATATTGTAAAGTGGGCAAAACGCAGCATTCAATTGCACACAGCAGTGTCCCTCAAACAGCCGTGGAATGAATGATTAATTTTATTTGCAGGATTGTTGGCCAGGGCACCAGGAGAGAGAAACCCCCTTCTTTTTTGACAGAAATTCCATGTGAAGCTCCCCGGAAGTTTCGAGGTTAACGGGCGCTGTGTCCAATGGAGAGATCATTTTTATTAGCAGAGATTTGGCTGACGATCGTGGCGCGTGTTCCAACACTAACGCAAATAAATCTTTTCCTCAATCAGGCGGCGTCTTTTCCGCGAATGCATCGGGACTTTACACAGAGTTGGCCGTTGGGATCTCCGAGAGATACATACGATGTACCACCGTACCGCTATGGAACGAGTGAGGTAGGAAAATCAATGTACGGGGTCAGGCGGCCAATCAGCCACCACTGTTTGTTCAGATTTGTGGAGTCCTGTAGCGAATTGGTTACCAACCTACAGCTCTGGTTAGCCTAGCGTTAGTCCTGTAGTGTAGCGGTTAGCTCGCCTCGCAAGCGAGAGGACCCGGGTTTGATTCCCGGGCGGGCCAAAACATTAGGCAAGCTTAGTTACTCCACACGCCTCTGTTTACCCAGCAGTAAGTAGGAACCTGGTTGTTAGTCGATTGGCGGATTGCTTTCTGGGGGTAATGATCCCCTCAAAACAAATTTGGTCACTCAATCCACACCTGTTTGTCCAGCAATTTCTATGTTCCTGAGGATATCCAGGGCTCAAATGGTTAAACGTTCAGAAGCAAAAAGTAGCTATTCGCTATTTCACAAAGCCACACGAACAGAAAGAAGGCCAGAAGAGAACAGGCACAAAGATGCGATTGATACGCACTGAACCGAGAAATATATTTAAATATATGGAAATATATTTTACATAATTACAGCCTTAAGCTGCTTCTCATGTCATTAGCAATACCCTCGCCTGAAGCGGAGTCATAAAAGGGTTTGTACCTGGCAAATCCCGGGAGTGTTATGGCTGCCCTCTATAAACTCCATTGAGACCCTGATCTCAGGTGATTCCGTGAATCCAATCGAGGAAAGTTGGTTGAGAATAGGACACGGGGACCACATTTAAAAAGCAGCTTGATGCGGTGATGGGGGGGTAATAAAAATCATTATAATAAGAAGAATCCTTCAATTTAATATGGCACCTTATCAAATCGTTGAGGCGTCTCAAAGCTCTTCACAGGATATACTGTAAAGTGCAGTGACTATGTATTTTGTGCGCGAAACACAGCAGCCAATTGCTCACAGCAGTGTCCCACAAATAGCTACGGAATGAGTGGCTGCTGCTTTTCGCCCACAAAACACAGTCCATCCACTTTACAGGATATTCTATGAAGTGCTTTGAGATGTCGCAACAGTGTGATAAGGCGCTCTATCAAATGTAGGATGACTATTGTTATCATCCGGCTAATTCCAGGAGTCTTTGTAATGTATCAGGAAGTTGTGGGTTCAGTAAACCACAGTAAGTACGGGGGTACAGGGAAACGGGACTGAAAGGATGGCTCTTGAAAGAGCCAGCACAGACACGATGGGCCGAGTGGCCTCCTTACGTGTTGTAAGTTTCTATGGTTTCTGTGGTACCAAGCTGCATTTGGGGATTTGAGATCAGATTCCAACACTCCAGTGCAGTCCTGGGGAGGAGGGAAGCATTACACTGTCGGGATCTTTCAGATGATCTGCCTCTTATCAATCGGATGTTGAAGATCTTGCGTCCACGTTGGAAAACTAATTGGTCGTTCATCTCCTGGCTGTTTGTAGGACTTTGTTGCCATGTTTGCCACTGACAAAAGCAGCCACTGTCCTGGATTGCAGTGACTTGTGAAGTGCTTTGAGATGGTTTCCATACATTAAAAAAAGGTGCTATAAATATCAACGTTCCCTCTCGTCTCAGTGGCTCTGGAACAGGAGTTGGGTTGAGGCTCCTCATGTTGTCAGCCTATGATCGCCACCCGCTGGCTGCGATGTGTAATTACAGTGTATTTTATAATCATTTCATTATCTATTATTATATTATATTATTATTGTTATTATAATCATTCCACAGGTGTGCTCCCCCGCTGCACCCAGGAAACACTCTATGTTCCAAACGTCTGCCGAGAGGAGGCAGATTCAGCAGCTGGATGATATCCCTCCCAGCTTTGAGAAATACATAGCTCCAGCGCAGCCGCAGGTGGGTGTGACCTCAGGTAATAGCAGAATATCTGATATCCACACTAATTAATAATAATCCTTCCATTTGATATAGCGCCTTATCCCTCCTTGAGTTCACAGATCTGTGAAGTGAATTGACTGTATATTTTGCCGGCGAAACTCAGGGGCCTTTACCCACTCGGGGCGATGAGGAGAAGTTTCTGAGATATGTTTTGTTGGTACCCCGACAGGTGTACGATGTTCCTCCCAGCGTGTGCAGAGACGGACCGACGAGAAACGGCATGTACGACATCCCGGCTCCGTTCGGGAGAGAAGCTCCGGAGGGAGCGAAGCTGCGAAACAGCTGCACGCTGCCATCTCCCTGCAAGCCCGACTGGAGCAACGGTTTACTGGAAAACAACGAGAGCAAGGAACGCCGGGCCTCAGTGCAGGCTCTGTACGATGTGCCGGTGCCTCACACCGAGGCTACCGTCTCCACGCAAGCCTCTTATGACACACCGCCAACCAAATACAGCCCACTGTGGGCAGACCGCCCTGACTTTGGTACCGCGATAAATCGATTGGAGGCGGGCACCGGGTACAATACCCCGCATACGCCCGCCAAGTATGGCCCCGCGCTCGCCAGGGAGGCGCTTTACGACATCCCCACATCGCGGGAGCAAGCCAAAAGCCCGTCCAGGAATCCCGGGATCTATGACATTCCGGTCAACAACCTCAAAGCTACTCAGGATCCGAGAAACATTTACGACATCCCCACGGCGACAGCCTCGCAGCTGCAGGTGGCCGTTGGTCAGGAAAGGCCATTGAACGCCAGCAACAATGGCGTCCGTGTCCTCGAGGTTCCTCTGCAGGCCTCGAGGGACTTGGCCAAATTCAGCCAGGAGAAGACCGAGAGCCCGGAAACTTCCGCGTCGCCCACTAGGGCCACCCCCTCGACTGCTCCTCCGATTGCGGCCGCCCCTAAACTGGCGCAAGAGATAACTTTAGACCTGGACTCGGCCATCGAAAGGCTGGTCAAGCTGCAGCAGAGGGTGGCTGACTCGGTGGCCAGCATGATGGCCTTTGTGAGCAGCAAGTGGCGGCTCCTGGAGCACCTGGAGCAGCACATCGAGGAGATCCGCTTGGCCTCGCAGAAGATCATGGAATCACTGGGCGCGTTGATGGGCTTTGTGAAGGGGGTGAGGGTCAACTCGGCCCGTCTGACAGACTGCAACGTCCAGAACCGACTGTGCAAACAGCTGCAGATCCTGGAGGATTCACACCATATCATGGTGGAGACCAGCCAGGCATTGCATGGCTGCCAATGGTCCCTTAGTGCCCTGGTTGTCAGTCAGCCCCAGGCGAATCCTGACAACCTTGATCGCTTTGTCATGGTCACTCGTACTGTCCCAGAGGATGTCAAGCGGCTGCTGTCTATAATAATTGCCAATGGGAAGCTTCTCTTCAAGCGTCTGGAGAAGCCAGAGGACAACAAGCCTGAGGAAACGTCTTCCCCAACGAAGCAGCCGGTGTTGAGCTACCACCTCAGCCTCCACAGGAGATGTAACGGGAATTACAACGGGCAGAGAGGCTCTCTCTCCATCTCACCGAACAAGGACTTCACCTCGAAACCAAGCGTCATGCCCCGTTTCAAACGAACTCAGACAGAGGACTGTGATTATGTCCATTTACAGGTTTGTTCAAGATCAGAACTGTTAAGTGTTTTCCTTGTTAGGGACATAGGAACATTTGTTAGGAACATGTTCCTTATTAGGAACATTTTGCTGCACAAAAATAGATCAAGGTGCATCTATTCTGCTTTTTTGTAATTGGAGGTGTTAATGGTGATTCCCGAACACAGACAGCGACTACTTCTGGAAACTGCGTCACACGACTCGTGATCACTCCAGGGTATTCAACTGGTGGCGGTGGGGGTGGGGGGGCGCGGGGGTGGTGTGTGTTGGGGGTAGCATAGCCCAGACCAGCATCTAAACAGTCACTCACTGAATAAACTCACTGGGGAGGGAGACAGACAGATCGTGGAGCTAGGGCCAGGCTGTTGGTGACTGTTCTTGACGGTCTCTCTCTCTCTCTCTCTCTCTCTGTTGCTCTGCAGAGAAAGGAGGAATTCGAGTTGGAACAGAAAAAGGAGAGTATCAGAGAGAAAAAGCCACCACCTGCCACACAGGTAACTTTACTGATGTCACTGCGTTTCTGCTTGAGGGAGCGCCTTCTGCTGAGGTGTTAAACTAGTTGGTTGTTTGACATCCAACAAGGGTTTGGGCCCTCACGAGGTGGATGGTAGGTACCAGGAACTCCCTGTGAGCTTCCCAGTGAGCCACACGGTTCAGCACGAAATGCGTGAGGGCATCGCCACCAACTTCCTGTCCACAGCTCGGGCACACATCCCTTCCCATTGAGCGATGGTTCCATGAATTAGAGGGGCGTAGTTTAAGCAGCAGCTGATTGCCTCTCTGCAAGTCAGTCGAGGTGGATTCCCAAATTCCCTTTGTCTTGACTCTGCCTGTAGTCAGCAGTGTCGGCAGTATTCCCTCTGTGCTTGGTGGGTGCCTTTGCAAAACACTTCAAGACATTGGCTGTTGACGCAGAAACTGTTAATTGCAATACAACTGACTAAGAAGGGCCTCAGGGTCTGTGGAGATTCCTGTAGCCCAGTGGTTAGAGCACTCGCCTCGCAAGCGAGAGGACCCGGGTTATTCCCGAGGGCGAAACTTTAGGCAAGTTTCTTGACTCCACGCACCTCTGTTTACCTAGCAGTAACTAGGAACTCGGTTGTTAGTCAATTGACAGATTGCTTTCTGGGGGTAATAAGCCCTGCAAAAATAATAATAATAATAATTTGGTCACTCAATCCACCACTGTTTGTGGACTGCCATGTTCTGCCCACAAAATGTACACAGTGACCTCACTTTACAACATATTCCGTGAAGCCCTTTGAGAAGTCTTAATGATGTGATAAGGCGCTATATGAAAAGCAAAGATTATTGTTATTATTATTATTATTATTATGCTGCACACCTCAGGGAGTCTGGCAAAAAGGGGGTGACAGTTTGGGTGAATCTGGTAACTCATTTGCTCTTTTTTCAGCCCAAGGATGTGAAGGCCAATAAACTGGTGGAAGGCAACAGACTGAGTCAGAAGGAAGGGCGCTCTGCGAGCTCCAGCAGCGAACACTGCAGGATGTTCCTTAATGCTCTGCACAAGGCCATCGTGTCCTTCAACGGCTGTATGGACGGTGGGCAGCCCCCGGAGGCCCTGATCAAACACAGTAAAGTCATCATCATGATCGGCCAGAAACTGGTGGACATGATGTGCAGGGAGTCGGAGGCGAAGGAAGTTCACAAGGAGGTGCTGAGCACCAGCAACCAGTTCTGTAACGTGCTCAAGAACCTGGCCATGGCCACCAAAAGGGCAGTGGTGCAGCCAAATGCCACCGCGGGGCACGAGATCAGGGAGCACGTGGTGGAGATATCGCAACACGCCGAGCACTTCAGGGCTCTGCTGGAACTGAAGCCGTGACCACTGAGAGGCGGGCGGGCAGGCGGGCGGCAGAAGATGTTTTTATATTTAGCTAACGTTCACTTTAAAACTTGGAGTCCCATGGTGGTTATCGCGCTCGCCTCGCAAGCGAGAGGACCTGGGTTCGATTCCCGGGCGGGGCGAAACCCTAGGCATGTTTCCTTACCCCACACGCCTCTGTTTACCTAGCAGTGAGTAGGAACCTGTTTGTTACTTGATTAGTGGATCACTTTTCGGGGGTAATAATCCACTCAAAAATTGAAAAATTTGGTCGCTCGATCCATGACTGTTTGTGGGACGCTGCTGTGCGCAATTGGCTGCTGCGTTTCGCCCACAAAATATACAGGCAATCCACTTTACAATATATTCTGTGAAGTGCTTTGAGACCTCTCTATAAGGCACTGTATCAAATGCAACTGTTTTATTATTATAATAACTATTATTTTTGTAAATAGTAGACTCCACCTCTGCCATTTCATTCCTGTCCTGAGAAGATTGAGGACAGGGCGAGGGGAGCCGAGAAATCACATATAAAAATAAACCTAGTTTCCCCACCCCCGCCCCCACCCCCAGTCAACTGACCCTGGTATTCCAGAGAGAGGAGCATTTAACTATCCAGTCATTTGGTTCTGAGATTTGTACAGTAATAAGGAAAATGTTTATACTGTACAAATTGAATTTGTTGTCAGTGATTGAAATTTTAGTGTGTTGTGTGATCACATTGTGGTAACGAAAGATGAGGAACTTCCTCCTTTACATGCTATCCACGAGGTCAATGTACATCTGGGACCTGCTGAATGCCATCTGGAGTTAATGGCACCTACTTCCCTTCCACAGTCCCCTCTCCTTCCTGTCCCCAACATTTTCCCCCTCTCTCCCATTCTCCTCATCTCTGGCTAATAGGATTCGCACTGAACCTTCACAGAGAATATATTGCAAACTGAGTTGGAGTCTTTCAGCGCCTTGGGACGTCCTCCTGACATGAAAGGTGCTATACAAATGGAATTTGTTGTTATTGTTGAGTCCACATCGAAAGAGGGTGCCAGGACAACAGAGGACAAGAGAGAAGGGAGGGAGTGGAAGAGAGGGGGAATGCAAAAGGGAAAGGCAGTGAGTAGAAGAACGGGGAACGGAGATGAAATGAGGGGAGGTCTTAAAGGAATTAATTTTGCTTTGGTCAAAAGCCGAATTACTGGTTCTAAAAAAAACAGCATAAAAATCAGATCCCACCAGGAAAAAGTACGTTAATAAATAAATCTTGTAAATATTGTACAATAAAAAGCTGAACAGAGCAGCAATTAATTAATTTCTTAATAATTTCTTTACTTTCTTTGGGAAATCTGCGAAGAGTTTTGTAATGTGTGAACGTGGGGTTTTACTAGGCAATGGTGGGAAGAATTGTTCTTATGTTTTTTTTAAGTTTGTCCAGCAGGACTCCCAAGTGAAGGCAAGGCAGGCTCCACTGGTGGGTGAGTGAAAGCACTCCGTTGCAGATGAGGCTGCACAGATCACACAGCATAAGCTTCGTATCCTGGACAGTGTTTGGTTAGTTGCCTCAGTTTGGATGACAAGTTGTCCACAAAGTCCTGTTACCCCCTGTTACAAAACAGCGATGTGAGACGATGGAGGAACTGAAACAAGTGTCAGAGATGCACTTTCCTTGGTCATGGATGTTATGGAAGATGTCGCACTGAACATTGCGATGGATCATTATCTGTCATGAAAGTGATGGTGCTCACAGTCACACCGATCCCCTGGACGTCTAAATACAGTTAAACACTTGTACTGGATACAGTTAAGTATTTCTAAACACTGTACATGTATCATCATACTTCCACATGTTTCTGTTGTTGGTCTGCAGGAAAAAAGGGGGCAACAAGTCTTTGTGGACACCCTGTGCAATAGTCTCAATGCCCCTGGATTAGAAAGAGACAATTCAGTGTAATACTAGGTTGGCTAACACGGATATACATTATCTTCTGTTAACATTATATGAAGTCATTTCAGCTGCAGTACAATGCAAAGCCTCACGTGCATCACGTGGGCTCTTGACGCTGTGCCCTCTGAAATCTGTGAGATCTTTTGTCACAATGTGTTTCTTCTCAGATGTAAACGTCAAAAGATTTCTCAATTTGTGGGCGAGTTTTCTCATTGCTGAAGGTGTCATGTGCTGGGGGTGGGGTGGGGGTAAGGATTGCTGGGGGGTGGGGGGGCTATTTTTGTAAGGTTTTGTTTGATGAGCTGAGCTTATTATCTGATTTTGTTTTTATACATTTTCAATAAAATGTCCTTGCAGTCGCTGTGTCTTTTGTGTCAGCTCCAGTGACCACTTGCAGATCTATGGAGAATCCGGTGTTCTTGGACCAACCAATTCTGCACATTCCACATCATGTTTCTGGAGCTTTGCTATCTGCAAAGTGGTCTTAGCCACTTCATATAAACTTCACTGTTAATCCAGTGAAGCCTTCTGAGACGTTTTGATGACCCGATAAAGTGCTATGTGGAGTCCTGAAGCGTAGTGGACAGTGCACTCGCCTCGCAAGCGATAGGATCCAGGTTCGATTTCCAGGTGGGGCAAAATATTAGGCAACTTTCCTTACTACACAAGTATCTAGCGATAAGTAGGAAACCAGCTGTTAGTCAATTGGAGGATCGCTTTGTGGGTCCATAATCCTTCCCCCCCCAAAATGTCACTGAATCCATGACTGTTTGTGGGACACTGCTGTGTACAATTGGCTGCCGCGTTTCACCCACAAAATATAGTCAAATTAATTTTGCAGTATATTTTGTGAAGCATTTTCAGACGTCTCGCCGACGTGATAAGGCGCCATATCAAATGCAAGGATTATTATTTCAGCATTCAAAAGGAGGGTCTTGAGACGGGTCTTGAAGGAGGCAAGAGGTGGAGGCGGAGAGACTGCGGGATGGAGTTTCAGAGTGTGGGGGCAGAGTAGCTGAAGGCCCACTCGCCAATAGTGGGGCGAGCGAGATGGAGGACATGAAGGGGGATGGAGCCCACTGAGCGGAGGGAGCCTGGATGTTATGAATGTGTGTATGAAGGTTTCGGCGGCCTGCGGTGTGAGACATTGGTGGAGTCGGGCGATGTTGCGGAGGTGGGGGAAGGCAGAGCGGGTCATGGCGCAGATGTGGAGTAGAAAGGATAGTTGAGGATCAAACAAGACCCCAAGGTTCCAGACTTGCTTAACAAGGGGGAGTGTGCAACCATGGATGGTGATGCTGGCAGCGCCTGAGGTGTGGAGGCACTGACGAGAGCCAATCAGGAGGGTCTCGGTCTTGTTGACGTTCAACCGAAGAAAGTTAGCTCTCATCCAGGACTTGAATGTGACAGACATTCGATCAGGCCAGCAGTGACCATGGAGTCCAGTGTCCTGAGTAGAACAGCTACTGTGCAGTAACGCTCTGCAGCTCTCCTGTAGTGATATGCTGTACAAACTCTTGTTGCTGTTGCTTTTTGTAGGGATGCTCTGGAGGACAGTGCTCACGTCACTGAATTCATTTTGTATTTTGTTCATGGAGTGTTGTAAAAAAAAGTGATAGCTCAGTAAACCCAGGCTGGACTTAACCCTTTTTCTAACGTGAACAGTTACAGAAAACTGAGACTTCATTCCAAAGTAGCTTTTATTATCAGTTCCAAAAATGTCATGAAATGCCAAATTAAAAAAAACTCACATGGACGGTCTTTATAGTGTCTTATTAAATCATAAAAACAAACCTTTTTCATGATACATGAAGTGTACATTGAACAGACACCATCACAGTTACACATTGTACTTTGTCAGCGCAAACTCCTACAATAACAAGAATAGGCAAAACTTGCTCGACTTATTTTGAGTCCAATGGGCAAGAGAGCAGCAGCTGTAGTTATCCCTGTGTGCGAGATAGTTAAGTTGGGTATAACACGAGCCAGAATTTTGACTGCTGAGTCTTGCCAGTCATTTCTTCATCAATGAGTAAGTAAGCTGCTCCAAGGAGCAGTTTGGAGGAAGCCAAGCAATACAGCCTGAGGCTTGTTTTCCTCACCAATTCATCAAGTGACTGTGCGGAAACCTCATCTGTAATCACGAGCTACTGCTTTCACAATGGTGTCACCCATTTTCTGTTCTGAGCCAGGTAACTGAAGTGTCAGGCACAGGCTGCTGGACTGACTGCACTAATCCACTTTCTCGAGGTTATTCCCAGCTCTGAGCTGGCCAGTGCCCGAGAGACAGAGAGAGAGTCTTTTCATCCAGCAGAAGGAAAACTGGGACCGTCTCATGCTCTGCAGCAAGCTAACCACGGAGTAGCTTCGATGTAGTCACTGAGATGTCCGTCCAGCAGCCCACACAGTGGCGGCCTCCTGTACACACAGTTGTGAGAGGCGTCACTTAATTCATAGAAATACACAGAAAAATGCTGAAACAACAAAGAGGTAACATTCAGGACTGTGATGTGTTTTTAAATCTAAAGAGTGGGTATAGTTTATGTGCCCACCCCCCAATGAGGGTCCCTGGAGACCGGAGGAAACGTACCAGACTATCGAGCAGACAGGAATAGGTATATAAGCTGCCTCTCTCCAGAATGCCAGCCAGAAAATCTGATTTCCACAAGTTTTGTGGATTACTTTTTTAAAAAATAAAATCCTCCTGTTCTGTCAAAACAGCTCACACTGGAGATGGCTTGTTGTGTACTATACATTGCTGGGTTGTGACTTTTACTAGTTACCGGCATGGTTATGGTGGGCTCTCAACAGCAAGTAACCAAATTGTAGCAGTGCTCATCTTACACGCTCCATACTGAGGCCTTAACAAACAACAGACAATAAAGCCAAATGTGTAACCAGTCAATGAAATGCCACATGCAAACATCTAACCTTTGGTTTGTCCAGGTGCACAAGAACCCATTCGTGTTTAATTCATTTTTATTGTTACATTTATACATTTTACTACGGTTATGTTTTTTTCTAATAAAAAAAATGAACGGCATAGTACGCGGGTTCAGAGAATCCCGGATATCCTGCTGTGTGCCCTGACTTGTCTTGAGCCGCTGCTCTGAACCCAGAGGGGTGCTTTTTAAACCACGAAGAATGGTTCAACACATACCCACAAAGTGGACCTGGTACGTGTCGTCACACCATTCTACAAACCCTGCTAATCTACACAGGAGACTTAACACTTTTACCCTTTCACTCACATTCCAAATACAGTAACTGACATTTGAAGAACATTTCTCCAGAACACGGTAGATGTACATTCAGGAGGTCTGCACTGCACTGCACTCTGTCCTTTGTTTATTTTGTACCAAGTTTGTACATCATTCATAGAACAAAGCAATTTGTTTTTTTAAAAAAAGAGACATAGCTCACTGAACACAGTCAAAAAGTAATTCAGGAGAAAATAAAACTGTAAACAACTTCACAGCAGAACTTGGGTTATCCAGTGAATGGCCCTGTGGCCACCTCCTTCGATCTCTCCCACATCTCCCACCCACCCTGCCTCGGTGAGCAGAGCTGTGAAAGATGGGGAAGGGATTCAGCTCCGACAGAGGTTAGCTTGACCTGGTCTATGTTTGTGGGTCCCTAAGAGTGTGGCGAGGTTCTGCAAGGATGACCGAGCAGTTGTATACAGGCCTGTGCTCCAGCTATGCAGTGCTGGTGGCACCCTGCAATGGCATTGCCATACTGTGCACGTGGCAAACACCGAATAAAAAAACAACTGAAATAGCTACAAACATCCTACACTTGCCAAAACAGTGTAGCCTGCAGATCTATAAACTTGACTGGTCTTGGAGCACTCAGCCCTGGATAAATGATCATTACCACGATGACTTTTGTCTGGAACTGAACCCCACCGCACCCTCCCATTGCACCATTTCATTGTGCCTTCAATGCTTGCATTTTGCCAGGACACCCGGCAGGAAGGTCAGGAACGCTACCAGTTCCTACAGCCAGGAGATCTGACCTGGATTTCCTTAAAGGGATTAGGTATAACCAATTCATTAGGTTCAGTTTTCACCTCCATGTGACTACAACTGTTTTAGGCGGCAAGAGGAAGCATAGTTACAACAATAACAAAACATTTTGAGCGATATAAACTGCAGATAGGCCACTAACAAAGGGAAAAGCAGCAGAACATATATACTGCAAATACGGGCTGCTGTCCTTTATTAGCTGAGGGGAAAACACTTTTTGCATTTAGCAAATTTTAAAACCTTATCCGAAGGTTAAATGCATTAATGATGACAGAGAGAAAGAGAGAGAGAGAGAGAGAGAAAAACAAAACAAATCCTGATTATTTTCCAGATATAGTAACATCAGAAACAGATGAACCTGCTTTCGAAAATTATTTTTTGGGGGGATTTAAACAGCAACAAAACAATTTTGTCTCCTCTACTGGGATGACCATCTCTAGGTGCCAAGGATGATATTAATTGTACTTCTGAGGTGCACCCAACGAGATGGATATTTTTGTGCAAAATATCATTAGGGTCCAGACATATGTCTAGGAATGAAGAAAGCAGATTACAACACGCTAGGGACTTTAGCAAGTAAGAAACATATTCAGCAAAAACACTCAAACCCTTCTAAAGACAGTTAAACAGCCATTAAGAGCAATGACAAGTCTCTACAGAACTGGCATCTGGCCAGTGAAGGCAGTTCACTGTCTAGTGATTACACAGCTTCATAAAAATCAGAAAGGAATGCTTATACTTCAGTGAGTCGCTAAACCAAATTCTGATTTTTTAAAAAATCAGTGCAAAGTTTGTAACAAGGTATAAATCTTTAGGAAATTCAATGCTGTGNTTTTTTTCCAAATTAGCTTAGTTAGTGTATTAAAGGTGCACAGTCATCGGTTGCTTTTAATGAGAAAAAAACATCTATGAAAAGAACCAAAGGAAACTACAACTCTTCCCCCTTAATCACTGTGGTAAATCAGTTTGGTGGCGATGCAGTTAGATTTTTGGATTGTGACAGTTTCCAGATATTATGCTGATAAAACTATCACAAATCGAAGTGAATCTGCATGGCTTGGAATAGAGAAATAGCCAATTGCTTACACTCAGGCCTTTCTCTTTACTTGAAAGACACTTAGAATGGTGCAACAGGATTTTAAAGGCTTCACTTAAGCAAATGTAATGAGTATGCAGGAGTCACAGCACTGAATCAGAACTATTCCTTGTTCTATTATATTATTCCTTGTTCTATTATGTTATCCTGTTCCAGTATTTCACCTAAATAATAAATAGAATTCTGACCTAAACCAAATGGACTGGTTTCTGAACATTTCATGATTTTTCTACCTACAGTACTTATATAGGTATTTTTTTTGTTCGTCAAAGCTACGTAACATCATATATGACTAGATCCCAAGTAACAGATTATTCAGACATGAGATTCCACCTCAGCTATGCGATGGATCCGATCAGTGAAGCTACGTTCTTGTGCAGTAATTAGGAAGGGCTCAATCTCCTCTCAAATACTGGTGCAGTCCAATGCCTCTGTCGCCCATAGGGATGATTGTACATTGCAGCAGCTTCCGGTCAGCAACCACAGTGTAAAGTGTACAGTCAACAGACGCCGTGTCCGTTCGCAATCACTCCCACGCCTGTGGTGGGAACTCATTCACCTCTGACATGACCTCAATGGGGGCTTCTCTGTGGTTGTACGTTAACTTCAGCCTCATCCTTAACGGGTGCTTTAAATAAAAACACACACAAACTCACACAGTGCTTCATGTAAGATAGTAAATGTAACATACCCTCAAAACAACTTCATCTTTTGCCAAAGTCTTATTAGAATTGGGGAAGACTGAGCTCACTTTAAACTGTGGGCTCCTTCACCACAGGCCTCAGTACTGTTGTGTGACCAGAAAATGACCAGAAAACAGGAGACCTTCACGCACGGAGCAGAGCCAGACAGTGAGGGCTGCTGAGTTAGCACAACAATGGGATCTAACCTGCCATATCTGCAAAATGGTCAACTTTGATTTCTGAAAACCCAAGCAGGGAAGAGGACGACAAGGCGGTTTCAGAGCTAAGCCTGTTTACCCAATAACTACACACGTTTACCTCCCAGTAACAGTCACTGGCTAGGGACGAGGGAGCCAGTTCCTGGTTTAAACCCCCTATTCCCCAAAACAAAATTTACAGTCAATCCACTTTACAATATACTCTGTAAAGCGCTTTGAGATGTCTCAATGACGTGATAAGGTGCTGTATCAAATGGAATGATTATTATTATTATTATTATTTCCCCTTTCTCAGACTAGGCTGTTAAGTTAAATTGCAGGATGCCTTACTGCTTTCCCAGCTGAGATCAGCTAACCTCCAACCTATGTCTCAGTTTGATGCACTGTAGGTTTAACACTGGGTTCTAAAGCAGCAGCCACTGTGACAAGCAGTAATCTAACCAGCTAAAACCACATGGCTTGCCATCGATAGTACAGTCTGGCCTTCCTGCTGCTTGTTCAGCTGGGATCATCCCAGTCGCTAGCCATAAGGCTTTAACATTCAGAGATAACAGGAGCCGAGTAAGAGGAATGTCTGTCTCTTCAAGTCCCGTTGAGAGCCAGACTGGTTCCAAGTTGCCTTGGAACACTGATGGCTCAGGAACTGGATTACCGAGACTGGCACAGAGAGTTACCTCAATTCTGATATTTAATTGGCAAACACTACACCTTGAAGCCTTTGGAGGCAGCTCAGCCCCCAAGGAGAATGCTCAACTCCCCCCCTCCCCCATCCTAGGCATCCGAGACAAGCATGGGTTTGAACCCTCACTTGGGACACAGTGGGTACCAGGAACTCTTTCCAAGCCTCTTGGTGAGCAGCACAACTACAATAAAACTACTTACCTTCTGTGAGTTGAGAACTCTCATGATCTGCGTGACGGCCCCGGAATTCACAGCGGGAACCGTGCTGCCGCTGGGGGACATCAGTTGGAGCTGGAAAGACTAACACACACAGCAGTCGCTTTATTCTGAAGTTAAATTATTTCTGAAAGTGGTCAGTTCAAACCCATAGCATTTATACCTTTGTAACAGTTACCTTATGCCTGTGTCCTTTGCTCTGAATTGCCCCACCAGAGGAAACAGTTTTTCTGTAGCTACCCTATCGATTATAAATACCCTATTTATAATTTTAAAAACCTCAATCAAATCACTCCTCAACCTTACAAGGATATTAAACACATCTAAATTGGAGCACAGCATGAAGTCACTATCAGACACAGATGTGACCATAAGGACAGGGGGTGTTAAATGTTGATACACACTTCTTCCTTTGCACTTCTAATGCAACCAATATTATTACACTTAATTCCTTAATAAAATCGTAATCCGCAAGATTTATTCATAAACGTTTTAGAATTGGGAAAGGCTGCTTACCTTTGGCACAGCAGCTTGCAAAACAAAATTGTTCATGTCAGTCTCGGTGGAGTTGGACGCCCTCAAGGTGATGAACAGCATGTTCAGGTTTGCTTTGGACCGTTCAAAGGAAAACTCAATTTTCAGGCCGTTTTGATCGTACGCGATGATTGATGGAATATCTGCAATGTTAAAAGATTCTACAATGCTATTTGGAAATAGAAGAGGGTTCCTCCTTTAGCCAGAAATTCTCCAAATACAGTTGAAATTCACTTCAAGACTGTGGGACACTTTTTGTGGGATATATTTACCCTCGGATATACTTGATAGCCAGTGCCTGTGAAATGCTTTCAAATGTAAGGATTGTTGGGAATGTGTATCTTTTTAGATTGGATTTAAAATGATTTCCGCCTTGCTGCTCTATTCTGATTTCATGTAGTGCAGAGTGTGTGTGTGTGTGTGTGTGTGTGTGTGGGGGGGGGGTGGGGGGGTAGGAAGGGTCACCCTACCCTGCTTCAAACTGGAAGTATTCTGAGGACTGCGGGGAGCGATACCGTCAAGTACCAGCTGTGTCTGTCCACCTGACAGAGCGGACGGCTGCGTATCTGAAAGATATTTTATAAAAGTTGACAAAAGTAAAACTCTGCACTCCCTCTTAATCCGACCCCATTCACAAGCTTTTACCAACCTCGGGTAAACATTCTTTTTATGCGACATGTTTGGCCATAGTACGATTCCAAGAGCAATCCACTGCCCCTCACATCATCGCAACACCAGAGCTAAAATGTTTGCTTTATGACTGGTTATTACTTTAGCCAAGGCGGATTCAACCTTTCGGCTGCTGAGAAATGTCAGGTCGCCACAATATGCTTTAAACCAAAAGCATCTAAAATAGGGAGTCAAATACTGCCACTAAAAGATACATTAGCATCCTGTAAAAGACTTTCTCACCTGCCAGGTTTAATCCGCCCAAGAGATCCAGTAGTTCTCCGCCTGTTTGAGGTACTTTACTTTCTTGAGGCACTGATCTGGCTGGGTTTATGTTACTGTCGCCAAGTAAATCCAGCAGATTATTGACCTGGAATAAAATATCTTGAATTAATGCACCATTTGAGAACTTCCCGTTTATTTTTATTTTATTTCTGCTCCTAAAGGCATCTGACATTTTCCTTACTGCAGTGGAGGAAGCACCACATACCCCAAGTACCGCAGTCAATGAGCTATACAGTAAAACTCCACATTCAGTTTCCTTTTAGAACCACTTACCTTTTTGCAGTAGTCATATTACTCACCTCCTAACTCAGAACGCCAGTCCCCTACCCTCCATTACTCCCTCACTTACTGGTTGCATTGAATTAACAACAACAACTTGCATTTATATAGCGCCCTTCACGTGTGTGGTAGCGTCCCGGAGGGCTTCCCGAATCGTGGGAAACATGGTTTTGATCTGTCGACACTTGCACAGAAGAACCTAATTTCCTGCAATTCAATGTGATTCCAATGGCAAGTACGCATAGGGCAACGGCTCAAGGTGCATTGAATCGGAGGGAAGGTAGTCTTGACCCGTCACTGCATGAGCACTTACTAGCTGCATTGATAAACTACCACATACCACTTACCGGCTACATTGAATTACGCATTCAATGATTATTGATTAAATGGGATTTTATACAATTTATACAGCTTGCCTGCAACTCTGACTTCGGCAAGACATACTGCTTTACTGTAACTCAACAGGAATCTTCTGTGGCTAACTTTTTTATATGGTCCATGGTTTCCAAAGGGGGCATACAGATCAGGGTTGAGTGGCTTGGATTTGAGGGAGGGAGGAACATTTATGGGAAAAAATGGCATCTGAACTAGATTCTCCTTGCAAGTATTGCTGTCGTTTGTCCAACGTGCATGGATTCTGAAGTGCAATAACAAGCTCCCCTGTGAAGATACTTCTGTGCGTATTGGCATGGTAACAGTGCCTTCTCATCTCCCGTCAGCAAATTGGTGTGACGTAAATTAAATGATTTAGTCCAACCAGGTGTATGACAAGCAGCTCTGATTGGATCTGGAGCCAGTTTATTCCTTGTCTCTCAGAAAGGAAAAAATTGAATGATCCAGATTGTGCACAAAGGACTTGGATTATGGCAGATGAACAGCATCACATCATCAATGGACAATTCCAAGTGACACGGAGAGACAATCTGCTGTTAGTCAGAAAGAACATTCAGGCTGCTTCTATTCAGACATTAAATCCACTGTTCATTAGGATGGGGAAAGGAGAGAGAGAAATATATAGGGCAGGAAATGCCCTTTCCTGCTAAGTGCATCAACTTTTGACACTATGTGCATCTAGTTCAATTTTATGATCACAAAAGCACATATGGGTCTAAATTGTGTGTGTATTCTAAGGATTTTTCATAAGAAGCCAGAGTCACAAACAGGGCCGCCTTTAGAAAGTAGCTTGGCCAACCCATGGGGACGCCACTCAAGACGGTAAAGCAGAGTTCCCACAGATCGTGGACCTGAAGTATTTCCAGTTCCTGCAAGGAGTCCTAATTTGTGTTTTGGAATCCTTAGGGAAAAATTGAATCAGAAAATGCGGTAATTTCAAAGTCTACAGGAGTGGTGGTGAGATGAATACCATCTTGTAACCTGTTTTTACCATAATTCTTATGTTCTTGCCAGATTTGGCAATGGGGTTTTGAGTTAGTTCAAGTCAATCGAAAAATCAACAATTTGAACGCATTCTGATGATCACGCCTCTACATTGTGTTTGAATTCTGATAACAAGATGCCCTTCTGACGTAAAAGGCAGTATGTTATACAAATTGTATATATATTATAATACCCATGCGGGGACAACACCAATGGGCGAAGGAACTCCATATTACTCCAGACAGCCCTGGGCACCCCAATAATCATGACATGTGTGTCTGTGTTATCTGTGCTCTAAGGAATCACTAAGCTTTGTAACTCCTGATGATTAAATACATGCTTAGACTGTTTTAAGCAGAAAATAAAAACAACCTGATAAAAGGCTCAAGGTTCCAGACTTGAAGGATGGTATGCCACATGTAATCCGTACAGTTGTACAGTTGTATTGAATAAAATCCGGTGGTTTGCTAGTACAATCAAGAGAATAGAGGACTAGACGAAAATGGCCTGGGAATTCCCTAAACTGATTTTATCTTGAGTTGTTAACCCAGTAAGTTACACACTTGGTAAAGAGAAGATTGAAAAGCGGGAGAGTATGTATTTACCTGGGCTTGTTGCGAAAGCTGTTCTTGTGCTGGTAAGTGACCCTCTTCCTCGGTCTCATCGACATTACCATTAACCGTGGCATGCATGGGTCCGTTGGTTGCACTCTTCTGTATTAAAGGCATTCTCTCCAGTAAGGCTGGCCTGCAAGCAGTGCAGCTTGTCAAAATCAACCACTACTCTGTTCGGGAGTACAATAATTATAGTGCAGCTCAAGGTCGCAATAAAATCTGATCTGCATTTTAAAAAAGCATTTTTGATTGCAATTGTGTTTCAGTTGCAACACTCTCTTACAATTCAGACATTGTTTCCTGATATCAGCACAAACAGTGAGCTTGTGTTGGCCTCAAATAACTACTTCTTTTCACCCACAAAATATACAGTCAATTCACTTTACAGTATATTCTGTGAAGGCCTTTGTGGCGTATCAATGACGCAATAAGCTACTATATCGAATGCAAGGATTATTGTTACTACTAGTGGCTGGTAAGTGCCTGGCTGCCATTTACATTCTCAACATTGCTCTTAATTTGCACAGGGCAATTATCAGGTCCTTCACTGCCTACACTGAGCACTTCTCCTGGACCTGAGGTTTGCAGCTGAAAGTGCATCACCCAAAGCTAGGGTCGTCATTCTCCTTCCTTCGCCTCGCCCCTCCCTTGCCTCCTTCAAGACCCATCTCAGGACCTCCTCTTCAACCACGCTTTGGTCACCCTCCTTCCCCTACCCTCCCTGCTCTCAACCCCTTCTGATCCCAAATCCCAGCTCGGATCCAAATCCCTAACCTTCCAGCTCTTTTGGACGTCCTCCTGACACGAAAGGCACTATATTGTTGACATTCCCAGAATAAAGAGTAGAGTCTAGCTCACCTCATATGGTCAAACCTCATGAAGAGGGCACTATATTCCACTGCTCGCTGCTGAAGCTCCACATCCAGACTGCTCCCGTAGATAGATACAGCTTTTCTAATGCGACTGAAAGAACACAATGGACATATTAAGCTGAGCACATCTGACTAAATCTGCTGAGCACATGTGCAACGTCAGTTGTTTTATAGAGAGCTTACGGCAGTTGTTTTATAGAGTTGTTTAAATTCTACCACCATATGTTTCACTTACTTAGTGCTGTTCTGCAGTCGTGTACTCAGCTTCATAATGGCTGTCAGTGCGTATTCACGCGTAGTAAGTAGAGAGAGATTAGAGTGCAGAATCTGTTCTAAAACGTCCAACACTTCATCTTCTGTTACCTACACAAAGAAATAAGCAGTCTCATACACAGTCTAGTAACAGATAATAATAATAATAATAATCCTTGCATTTGATATAGCGCTTTTCACGTCGGGAGGACGTCCCAAAGTGCTTCACAGAACACACTGTAAAGTGAATTGACTGTATATTTGTGGGCGAACGCGGCAGCCAATTGCGCACAGCAATGTCCCACAAACAGTCGTAGATTGAAAATGACCAATTTATGATTGTTTTTGGTTTTGGAGGGATTATTATTAGGCTCTGTGTGGAGTGAGGAAACTTGCCCAAGGTTTCGCCCTCTGCCTGGAATTGAACTCAGGTCTCTCGCTTGCAAAGCGAGTGCTCTAACCACTGAGCTACAGGACTCCACCGTGGAGTATCATTAGAGAGAGTAAAAGCCACAGGTACTCAAGAAACCACAGTGCCAGAAAATACATCACAGTAACAGAGTACAAGTGTGTAGGTAAAGGCTATAACATCCCATACTTGCAAACAGGTTTCAAATACAGTACTCAGGTAGTTCCTCTGTGTATACAAATGGGGGTGGGTGTCTTGAGTATGTCGCTCCTGGTTAAAAGCAGGATGGCTTTCTTTCTATACAGAGAGTCCATCCCACGCGGACTAATGCCTTCCACCGCAGCTTTTATCCTTCAATTTTATTCAACCTTCCCAAAGGTAAGTTCAATGTGTTTACTCAGTATTTCCACAGATTCAAGACACCATCGATACACTGTGTGCATAAAATCAACAGTAGAGCTTCCTATACTATCATCATAAAATAGCACAAAAGTGAGTGTAATCTCTTTGTTATGCTTCAACTGCCCCAGAACAGCTCATGTTGAATACATATTACAAGTATTTATGAAGTCATGCTCTACAAGAACTATTCTGTTCTTCACCTGTTTAGCTGAATTGTAACACAACCATTTACTCAAATGACATGTGCTATATTTAGTAACTGCTATAATTTGCCATAGTAACATTGTGGTCTTGCTCCAGCATGACCACATTCATACCTGAACTGGTGTTTCGTCTTCAAACTCCCCAGACAGCAGAAGATCTCCATATTCCCCAATACACCAGACTGCCACTTGAACTAGGGGTTGCTGTAACAGAAATTAGTGAAGTTCAGGCAGTAGTCGACACAGACCAAAACGTGTCGGACAAAGTAGAGGAAACCACACTTCCTTCACAAATTTAGGACACTGTGAGACATTTGCTGTGGATCTTATCTCAACCTCTTGATTGCTTGGACTAAATACTGAAAATTCAACATAAGAAAGTGATTTCATTGATTTTTTTTGTTAGTTTGTTCTCGTGGTTGAATATCCATCAGGGATCTTATTATTCATATAATTGTCAGGAATTTGTCAATATTGTTCGCTGTGAAGGTAACAGAAAACAGTATTTTTCCTCCTTTGCCAGCAGTGGTTGGCACTGATGGCCAGGAATCTCTGTCCATGTAGCTGATGCTTGACCTGCTAGCCACTGCCCAAATGTGACAGGTTGGGGTTCAGCTATCATCCCCTCTATAGATATGTGACCAACACTCACCCGTTTAAACGCAACAGCATCCAGAGCTGTGCAATCCAAAGCAATACAACAGCAAGGTGAAAAGCCCTGACTTAATGAGGGTTAACTTAGCCCAGGATAATAATCTAATAATAATAATCATTGCATTTGATATAATGTCGTTCAGAGGCATGGATCAGGGTTTCAGCAGCAGTGAGGGTGGGTTAAGGGTGCAAGTAAGCAATCCACAAGTTTGAAACTCAACTCGATTTACCTGGGAAGCATCCACTCGAATGGCCTGATAAAGCTTCTGCACGATGTAGGCATGAAGGGAGTTGGCATTACTGATCAGTAGAATTAACAGAGGCACCGAGTCGTCGCGGACAAAGCTACCAGCCTGTGGAGAGACAAAAATACTTTCATTAAATTGTGAGAAAGGAAGAGGGGAACCGGTTTTCTTTTTTTTAAAAAAATGACTGCTTCAAAATCAGAATTAATCATCAAAAGGATACATACTGTAGTCAGCACTCTCATAATAGTGTCAATGTGCCATCGCTTGTTTGGTGCATATCTGTAAGAGACATTACCAAAAACATGAGAACGTTAGGATGTGATTCTGTTGAAACTGCTTTAGATGCAGCACAGAATTTGTAGCCACAACTTGCATTTTCCAAAAAATATTTACCAACATCTGTGCGCTATCATTTTGCCTCTCCAATTTTCCTCCTCCTGCCCCTACAGCACCGATACCTGCAAGTGACAGGGGCACTGGAGACCCTCCACTGCCTTGTGCACTGACTTTGCACTTTATTAGGGCCTGGATTGCATTTTGACTATTATACTTGTACATTTGTAAAACTTGAAGGTCATCTCAACAGGCAAATTGCCACAAAAAGCATTATAAATCTCACAAAAACAGGAAAATCCAGAGAAGGAGCAATCTAACTCACCAGTGAAGACTTCCCAATATGTGAAGGGAACACAATTACAATGGAAATTTCACATTTTTTTCTTATCCACAGCTAAACTAGGTGCTTGTGATGGATATTAAACCATTTGATGTGTTAAGAGCTTGGCTTTGAGCAAAAATTCAGCTCACGAAAGAACATATACCATGGAGATTTATTGTCTTGGACACTGAGGGGGAGATTTTGCACACCCAGTGAAGCACACATCTCTCTGGATTAGCATGAGACGCTGCGACTGTAGAGTCAGGGCACCAAACCATCCCAATAGCAGCGGAGAGAACACTGGGAGGAAAAGTGAACAAAACAAACATCCACGACCTGCAATTCTCTGTGAGGGCCGTGATGTTTGATGTATTTATGCACCACACTTACTTTTCAGCTGCCAGGAAGATTCCAGAAGCGCAGTCAGCTTTAAACTCAGGGTCACAGTGGTCCAAGAAATAGAGCAGCTCTTTCATCATCCCTCGGACATTGCTGCCGTTAACCAGGGCAAAGCACAGATCCATTGCGCGCCTTTGTGTAATGCAAATCAAAGAACATGTATTAAACCAAAGAACAGTGACAATCCAAAACAACAACAAAATTACATTTGTAAAGCACCTTTCACGTCGGAGGGACATCCCAAGGCGCTGGACAGGCCTGAGCTGGAGGTCGGGGTGGGTGGAGGGCAGGGGGAAGTGGGGGGGAAGCAGGGAGATCGAAAGCACAGTCAAAGAGGAGGGTCGTGAGATGGTTCTTGAAGGTGAAAAGGGCGAGGTGGAGGGACTGTGGGATGGAGTTCCAGAGGATGGGGGCAGAGTGGCAGAAGGCCCGCCTGTCAATAGTGGGGCGGGCAAGGCGGGGGATGTGAAGCAGGCCGGAGCACGCTGAGCGGAGGGAGCGAGCAGGATGGTAGGGGGCTAGGAGGTTGAAGTTGTAGGGGGCAGCAAGACCGTGGAGCGCTTTGAAGGTGAGGACCAAGATCTTGAACTGTAGCCTCTGTGTGATGGGAGGCCAGTGGAGTTGGGCGAGGATGGGGTTGATAGGGTCGCGGAGCCTGGTGCAGGAGAGGACACGGGCTGAAGAGTTCTGGATGATCTGCAGCCTGTGGGCGGAGGAGTTGGGGAGGCCGACAAGCAGAGAGTTTGCGTAGTCGAGCCTCGATGTAATGAAGGCATGTATGAGGGTTTCGGTGGCCTGCGGTATGAGATAGTGGCGTAGCCAGGCGACATTGCGGAGGTGGGGGAAGGCAGAGCGTGTCATGGTGCAGATGTGGGGGTAAAAAGGATAGTTGAGGGTCAAACAGGACCCCAAGGTTCCGGACTGGCTTAGCAAGGGGGAGTGTACAACCATGGATGGTGATGCTGTCAGCGCCTGAGGTGAGGAGGCGCTGACGGGAGCTAATCAGGAAAGCTTCGGTCTTGTTGATGGTCAACTGATGAAAGTTAGCTCTCATCCAGCACTTGATGTCTGATAGACATTCTGTCAGGGCAGCAGTGATCCTGGAGACGAGGGTGGAGGCAGAGAGGTATAGTTGGGTGTCATCCACATACAACAACAAGATTACATCTGTATAGCGCCTTTCACGTCGGAAGGACATCCCAAGGCGCTGGACAGTGTACAGCATTTCGGACCCCAACTGGGGTCAGGGGGGCAGAAGGAAGGAGAGGGGAAGGGGCATACATGTGGAATTTGACCCCATGTCTGCAGATGATGTCACCAAGGGGAAGCATATAGATATTGAAAAGAAGGGGACCAAGGACAGAGCCTAAAGAAACGCCGCACGAGACGGTCCGGGGGCTAGAAGAGAAGACATTTGTGGAGATGAAATGGAGGCGGTGTGAGAGGTACGATCTGAACCAGTCAAGGACAGAGCTGTGAAGATTGCGGTGAGAGGAGAGGCGGCGGATGAGGATAGAGTGGTCGACGGTATCGAAAGGAGCAGAGAGGCATGGAGGACGAGGAGGCAGAGGTAGCCCAGTGCAATGAATGCACTTTGGAAAGTTTTGTTGACATGGAAGGCACGATATAAATGGAAACTTTATGTAAAAACTTGTGTAAAAAAAGGAATTAAGAATGACTTCACACTACATCTGTTCAGCACATCAGACACCAGCATCACTGAAAGGTTAAGATAAATATTGAGCTTCGTCTGACATCATAAAAACTTCCAGGTCACAATTCTAAAGATGCAAAGGCTGGACTGAGCTGCTGCACTACAGCTTACTGCCAGCTGGGGAGAGAAGGTGCTAACATTTGAATAGTTTTTATACAACGTGGAATGAGACTTGCTGCATGTCCAGAGTCAGAAAGAGCAGAATGTGGATGACAGCAGTGAAATCAAAACTACTACATATTTTACTACTTCATAAAATATGGAACATGGGAGGGATGGAGCTATAAAATCACAACTGAATTTATATACTGTATTCACTTCCAGGTTGAAAAGACTGAAAAGGGTAGGATGCAGGCAGCAAATTATATCCTCAAGTCATATGTCACATTCCACGCAATGACTCAGAGTAACTAAACATTAAATGAACTCAAAATTCTGATTTAAACCCTTACAATTGTAGCATAAAAATACTGCAAATATCAGAAGAGTAGATATTTTAGTTTACAAGTTGGAAAATGAATATGCTTTATCTGAGATGTTTGACTGTTGCTCTCTTTATTGCAATGTGATATAGTACAAAATATTTTATTGCCACTTTCATCTCTGAGACCTGGAGTTAAGTTCAGCCCATACTAATGTGATGAAAACCTCCTTTCTCTGCCTACTGTAAAGCAACTACGTGAAATGAACTTTTAGGGTTTCAATCCAAATCCAGAGGCCAAAACCGCCAACAGTTTAGCATGGCTGATAAATCCTCTCAAGAGACTAGTATAACAACACCAACAACAAAATGACATTTATAGAGCGCCTTTCACGTCGGGAGGACCTTTCTTTTTGACCGTGCCTTTGGTCACCTTCCCACCCCTCCCCCTGGCTCGGTCCCGGGATCCTAAACTGTAAAGCGCTCTGAGACCCCGTCCGGCGTGGAGGGCGCTATATAAATCCAAGTTGTTGTTGACATCCCAAGGCGCTGGACAGTCAGGGGTCAGGAACTGAGCATGGGGGAGGGGTGGGGTAGGGGTGAGGGAAGGCAGAGAGGTGGGAGGGAGACTGAAGGCATGATTGAAGAGAAGGGTCTTGAGACCGGCCTTGAAGGAGGCAAGGGAGGAAGCGAGGCGAAGGGACTGTGGGATGGAGTTCCGGAGTGTGGGGGCAGAGAGGCTGAAAGCCCGGCGATGGTAGGGCAGTTCGGGCGGGAGACATGGAGCAGGCCAGAGCCCGCTGAATGGAGGGACCACGCAGGTTGGTAGGGAGTCAGCAGGTCAGAGAGGTAGGAGGGGGCAAGGCCACGGATGACCTTGAAAGTGAGGATGAGAATCTTTAATTCGATCCTTTGAGCGATGGGGAGTCTGTGGAGTCGGGCGAGGGTGGGAGTGATGGGGTCAGAGTCTGGTGCGCTGAAGTACACGCTGCAGAGTTTTCGATGATCTGCAGCTTGTGAAGGGAAGAGTTGGGAAGGCCGATGANGGGGGAGTTTCCATAATCGAGCCTTGATGTGAAGAATGCATGGGTGAGGGTTTCGGCAGCCTGAGGGGTGAGGAGTGGCGGAGTCTGGCAATGTTGTGGAGGTGGTAAGACCGAGTCTTGTGCAGTAGGGGTGTTCTCTAGAGATTGAGTTAAGACACATAGTGTGTGTTATAGCAAGACAGAGGAGTGCTCAAAACCGAGTGGGAAAATGATCCACTGTGCAGCATTGACATCCCTCAATCTGATACGCAGTGCTCCTCACCCTCATCACTGACTTGAGCTTCTTCACCTGCACCTTCCCATTTCAACATCAAAATGCAGTCACTGTACTTTGCAGTATACCATGTGAAGCGCTTTGAGATGTTCTCCTAACATGAAAGGCGCTACACTAACGGTAAGGATTTATTATTTCAATTAGACAACTCCCCAATACCCAGGGTATTATTAAAAAATTGTACTGAAATTAAAGCAATTTTTTTTGCTGTCATGTCTTGTTTAACTCTGCACATTGTACTGTGTCTGAAATTCTCTCTCTCTCTCTCTCTCTCTCTCTCTCTCTCTCTCTCTCTATCTCTATCTATCTATCTATCTATCTATCTATCTATCTATCTATCTATCTATCTATCTATCTATCTATCTATCTATCTATCTATCTATCTATCTATCTATCTATCTATCTATCTATCTATCTATCTATCTATCTATCTATCTATCTATCTATCTATCTATCTATCTATCTATCTATCTATCTATCTATCTATCTATCTATCTATCTATCTATCTATCTATCTATCTATCTATCTATCTTCTTCTATCTATACTAATAAAACAACAATGTCTCTGTGCACTTCAAGAAGGATCTGAATAACCGACATGATTTATACCTCATCGGAAAGGGCTTGCATCTGGGAGCGACATTGGCATATTTGTTTTCCAGTATTTCCTATCGTTCATGAGTTATTTTCAGTTTTGTGTTTTTCGCTGTAGTTACACCTGGTGGCCGCTGAGTCAAAGTGGCACCTATGTATGTACGTGCACACTGCAGTTACACCTGGTGGCTGCACCAGCTGACCGTGGTGCTGTGGCATCCTGCGTCACACAGCACGCACGAAGCCAAGCGGCGGAAACAAAATAAAGAACACAAACGAAGCTAAGCCGTGGCAACCACAACAAAATTACATTTTTAAAGCGCCAAATCCTCCCATTGAGTCTCCCAAAAGGAATCCTCCTACAGGAGTCCTCCCAGATGAGTGTAGATAAAGATGAAATGTCTGTTTGTGTGTCAATCTACATTCCATATTGGATTATTTTGTTGAAAGCAAAGTGCACCAGGTACAGCTAGTATCACATAAAGCCCTTTATCACACCATTCCAGCATGCTGCCATCTGGTGACAATCAATTAGTTGCTTCTACGCGCATATAGCAAATAGTTTTATATTTTTTCCTTTTTTTTTGCTGTCGTTAATGCTATAAATTGCGCTTTCATACTGAGATTCCAATTAGTCAAAATAGCGCAGCAGACTGGGAAGAGTTTTCACACTGCCTTTACATTGCCTTTGGATTTCCGGGGGACTGTAACAGCCTGATGTGGATATGGAAACGACTTGACATTATTATGCAAATATAGTGATTCCTTCAGACTTCCCCACACACCAATGTGATCTCTGTTGCAAAAGCAGTGAAAATAATAATCCTTGCATTCCATTACAGTGCCTTAACCTGTCGAAACATCTCATGGAGTGATGTTTGGACTTGAATCCACAAACTTCTGACCAGAAGTTTACCAATTGACCCAGGCTGACAACGATAGCAGAGGCCAAGAGATGCCCCCGAATATTAGGGGCATCTCTTGCTCCTAAACTTTCCTAAACTCATAAACGTTGCTCCTAGTTTAGTATTTCCATTATTTTGGTAGCAGACATTATAAATAAACTGCTAATAATGGCTGTGTCCATGTACGAACATCTGACATGTTTATGCCTGTGTAAAGAGGTTCATGTTTGTGTCGAAATGATGCTTTCCTTTTCAGATACTGTTTGATATGCTGTGCTCAGATTTCCAGCATTCAGAGTGTTTCGAATTACCTCAGTGAGATTGGTAGCACTGAATGAACCAGTGACATTTCTAGCTCAAGTACTTCCAGTTCAGGGAAGATTAATCTACGTCAGTGTCCTGGGCTGAAACCACAAAACACCAGATCACGATGGAAAAAAAAAGCCCATAAGGGCCTGTGTTAACAGAGATGACGGAGATTGATATTTTCAATTATAGGTCAAGTTCTGCTTTGCAAGATATGTGACTGTTACCTTTTGATGGAGACGTCAAGGTCAGTCAGGCAGTCGACGATTGTACTTCGGTGCCTCTGTACTGCATTGTGGTCTGTCTGCACCATCTTAAGCAGAGATGTCAATGCAACGTACCTTTTATAGAGAAGTTAGAGTCAAGAATAGGTCATTTCCTGTCAAAAGGCGATTTTAGAAAGAAGAAGTTATCAATTCTCGCCACAACACTGCAACTTACCAAAAATACAGGAACTGCAAGACTTTCGTTGTTGTGTAAGAAGGGAGCACATGGTTGTAATCGGGGGAGGGGGGGGTCCAACCTTGTGGCTGCTGAGAGCCGTATGAAGCGCTCCGAGCAGCTGTCTGGTTTGAAGGGCGCTACGTAAATGCGAGTTGAGATACGCCCGCGGGAGGTATGACTCATGCCTATGAGTATACCAACTGGAAGAGGGGTGCAGCAAGGAGGTAAAACAATGAAGTCGGAAATGGTTCGTGAGACGGGAGAAATTAACTCCCGGGCCGCATGTGGTCTGTGGGCCATCAGTTGGTCTACCCTGTTGTATATGGTGAGAGTCTGCAGTGAAGGGAGCTCATTCTTTCTGAGTTACAGAGTGATGGCTGACCTTGAGCAAAGTTTATGTTCAAAGGAAGCTAAACATGGCTTTGAGCAATCCAAAGCCATCAGCAGGGATAGTACAAATGTTGCAGGAGAGATTAAGCAGCAACGCAGCTAAATCTGAGCAGAAGTCAAATATAACTATCTCAAAGGAGGCTCATAGAAACAACAAGTAAGTATAATATCATAATCCTTGCATTTGATATAGTGCTTTTCACGTCTTCTAGATGTCTCAAAGCGCTTCACAGAATATGCTGTAAAGTGAATTGACCGTATATTTGTGGGCGAAACGCGGCAGCCAATTGCGCACAGCAGTGTCCCACAAACAGTCATGGATTGAAAATGACCAATTTATTATTGTTTTTGTTTCTGAAGGGATTATTATTAGGCGTAAGGAAACTTGCCCAAGATTTCATCCTGCCTGGAATTGAACCCAGGTGTCTCACTTGCAAGGCGAGTGCTCCAACCACTGAGCTACAGGACTCCACAGGAGTCTCACCACTGAGCTACAGGATTTATAGAGCTTCCTCCATGCAGGATAGCATCTAAATGGAAACAATGCTTCTGAGTTGAGAACAATGAGCTCACAAGCACCTTAAACCTCCCCCAACCCTCAAATATAATCTATAGCTTGAGACAAAAAGCCTGACAGACTTCCAGATCCAATGGCATGCAAGTACTGGTTATAATCCCAGTACGTCCTAAGCAAAGCAGATGTAGAGTGCATTACATTATTTATTTGTTGGTAAACTCAATTCATGCTTGCAACAGATTGCAGATGTTGGTGCTGCAGACAAAATACTACAATAAATGCAATGTACCTGCAGAGTGGGGGGGCCTGGGGTGGATGGGGGAGTGGGTAGAGTTATTGTCTGGTGAGATACACCAACGGAGTTCTCTGCACGTGTGTGGTTGGAGTTCATTGAAAGAGACACAAGGATGGAATTTCCCTGCAGCTTGGCATGCTTGTAATCAAGCTTTAAATAAACCACAAGGCAAAAACGTTTTGTGAAGACTAAATAAAAAGAAGGTTATGACTTACCTAATATTTTTATCATTATTTAGTAAAAATCTACCCAAAATATTTACAGCTAGAACCTGGAAAAAAAGAAAGCAAACAGTTACAACATTCATGACAGCTTCAATAGCTTTATATTTGAACACCCAATTTAGGGTCAAGGATTAATTAGGCTTAACTGCAGTTCAGATAGGTAACGTGCATTAGAATCGAAAAGCACAGCCCTCCTCCCCTCTGCGCACACACACTAACTCGTACTCAAGTGTAGCTCCACAGGAATCAGCCCTCTGATACTTAGCTCAGTGTCCATTTTCCAACTAAGCAATCAGTAGCAGGAGCCCAGGATGCTGAAGCCAACTTTAGTTCCCCTGCTTCTGTCCCAGCTGAGATTAGCTAACTCAGCACAGACCATGGATCCAAGCAAGGGACCTTCCTGGTCTGTGTAGCCCAATATGGCTTTGCTAACTGCACAAGACAGACAGAACTGCCCAAGCAAGTTCAGTTGTTTGACAGTGCTCCATGGCTTCCAGCATCATGTAAGACTTGAGCTCATAATCTATGTCGGGGAAAGGGGCAGACATCTTATATCTCTGAAACCCACAACTCTCTACACACATCTGTAGTTTCCTACTCATGAGCAATGAGTTGAGATTCTAGTTTTACTCAGCTACTTAAATCATTATAAAGCAAATGAGACTTTGCTTGTTTAATGTCAGACAGACCACTCAATGTGAAAGCATTGAGTGGTCTGTCTGACATTAAACAAGCAAAGTTTCTGGGTCCTGGATCTTAGATTAATTCTAGTCTGGTTTCTGCACTGAATTCAAAACACCACAAACTCTATAACAACAAACTCCACACTTACTCTCAACCCACTTTCAGACTTAATATCCATCACTGTTAGCACAGTTTCATATAAAATGGCATTGCCCACGTTTTTACTGGTTTCAGTGTTTGTTGCAACCTAAAAAAAAGGAGATTGTATTGTAAAATTACAAGGTTGTAATCACTTGAAATTCATGACCACTGCCATGAGAAAACATTTGCCTTTTATGTCTGCTGAAATATTAACAATTCATAGAATCAAAGAATCATCGAGCACAGAAGGAGGCCATTCGGCACATGGTGCCCGTGCCTGCTCTTTGAAAGAGCTATCCAATTAGTTCCACTCTTTCCCCGTAGACTTGCAAATTTTTCCTTTTCAAGTACATATCCGATTCCCTTTTGAAAGTTATTATTGAATTTGCTTCCAGCACCCAAATTACTGATATAGGAACCATTCTGGATGTAGAACATTCTGGCAAGAGGTTCCAGAGTTTCTGCCAATAAATCAGAAGCCACGAATCATTAAATATACACGGTGTCTCGAGTTCATTAATAAAGCCAGATGGAGCAGGAAAGTCCCAGCTTTAATCCCTCCTTTATGCTGATCTCAGTAGTGACATTACAGGTCCTCTTGGGAAGTGAGGAAGAGAAAAGAAAGGGAGGGAACAGAGAGAGAGAGAAAAATAAGGGACAGAGAGAGATTAAAAAATCAACCGGAGCTTCCACTCCTGACTTCTACTCAGCGACCCTTGTGGAAAGTGTGCGTGGTTCAATCTTAAATACACAGAGTCAGGACTCTTCCCCTCAGCTGAAATTCACACATGACAAATTCCAGCACCGCATGGAACCACTTCCCAGAAAAGGCTTCAAGAGAGAAGGGATGGAAATTAGAGGGGGGGGAAGAGAGAGAGAGAGAGAGCGGGAGAGAGGAAACTGCACATTACCACTACAAGCTGTTCAGATACTGATTTAAGTGCCAAAGTGAAAAGAATAGAATGTATTTTTGATGGTATGAAATTGAAACATCACAATGCAGACAGAACTGTTCACAAACAAATGGACAAACATCTCCCGTCCTCTCCCACTTCCATGAAGCAAATACACACATGAAACCGATACTGTATGCAGATGTGAATTCAGGGAAGTGAATGATTCATGATCTCACGTAGTGAAACACACTCTGGGAATAACTTTTCTCCAAACGCATGTAATTCTGCATCATGATACCAGTTAGTCAGTGGAAATTTTAAAGGTTCCAGAAACATTTTTAAAAAAGTTAGGAAACAGGAAGACAACTAGTAGTGGCAGAACAGTTATTTATTTTGCCAAATTCAAGTAACTGTGATGCATTCCTGTGGAGAGCAGATTAAGCAAGCCACATATCTCCTCAGGTTGTAATGGTGTTTCAAGCTGACATTTAGGTTTTCACAATACGTACAGGAGTCAATGAAACTAATTACGCTAAAATTCCCTGATTGGAGACAGACAGACTGTGGCAATGATACCGAGAAATGGTTTAGAAGAAGCAAAGCTGTACCCCAAAAATATAAGTCATAAAGATACGTGTGATGGTGCTGGCTAGACTGTAAGGCGTCAAGGTTGGTGTGCTGACAACAGGTATTATGATGTTACTGTTTTTTTCCTTTAGAACCCGGAAAGTATTGGTGTGCCCTTCACCAGAACACTCTTTACTGTGCTAAACCCCAATTCCTGTCAGAGCTCACCTGAGCTAGAATATCATTCATTTGTTCACTGGATTCATCGTCACTTTTCCCCAAAATTCTTAACAATCGTAATATCTGAACCTGTCAGGAAGAAAGCACAAATTGTGTGTAAACTGCAAGAAACGGGACAGCCCTGATGGTGTAGTAGATAGAGCAACAGCTTACAGACAGACCAAGATTCAAAAAAGCGAACTTCTTGCCTTAAGCTGCAGCTCTATCTAGAAAGCAACCAGCTTCTAGCACTAAAAAATAGCCTACATCTGAGCATCGGTTGCCTTGTTACTTCTTATGCTGTGTTTGCATGCAAAAAGTTGCTAGCCGTGCAATACTTAACCTACTTGTGCAAAATTGGATGGTGTACTGTTGCAATGCACAGTAACAGAAACCTAACTTACTACGCGTGTGAGTAAGTTAGGTTTCCCTTGCTTAGAGCGGTCAACCCCTCCTATAAACTTGTTTGGGAGCAGAGCTTTGGGTATAAAACAGGTTTATAGAGAGAGGAGTGCAATATTGAGGAAATAAAAATGAAATGCTGGTACTCCACAGCAACTGACAAAACATTAAGATTAACATTTTGGGTTTGTCCCTTTAACAGGAGTCCGTCCACTCATTATTATTAATAATAATAATAATTTCACCCACAAAATATACAGTCAATTCACTTAACAGTATACTCTGTGAAGCGTTTTGAGGCATCTAAACAATCTGATAAGGCACGATATCAAATGCAAGGATCATTATTATTATTATGATCACTCAAATTCAATTTGATCAAATCTGGTGGATATTTTCAGTGGGAATTTGGAGAGTTACCTGAAGGAAAGGGTCACTGATTCCAGACACATCGTGTTCTGGCGAGTAACCAGACATGATCAGATTCTTCAGCGATTTGACCAGCTGTGGAACTACCTACAAGATAGAAGAGCACATATATTATATCTTGAACTGCTTAACGATGGAAGTAAATCGAGTACCGTGAGCACTGTCTAATCCACATCTATCAGAGCCCCCCGCCCCGCCACCCCACTTTGTAATTTTGTTAAAACAGGAGCTAAATGAAGCAGCTACCAGATTTCGCCATGAGCAAGAATTACAGCCTGTACTTAGAATGAGCAACCTAGCATTACATTTAGAGATACAATCAGCATTTAAAAGCTCTCATTGTGGTGAAGCTTCAGAAATAAATCACCAGTATTGTGCCCAACCAAATAAGCCCTGAAGACGCCAGCTGAAGAAAAACTGCAATATAGTTGTACCACAAATTCTGCAATGCCGTCTTGCAAAGTTTCGTTACAATTGCACAAGTGTTTATTAGCTGTTTATTAATTTGGGCAAATTAACTACAGTCTTCCAGTGGTCAAATCTGATATTGCAGTGTAGATTTGATAGTGTGACAGTTTTGTACCCGGAATCTTGTGAAAAAAATTGACAAGAAACCTTCTCATCATTCAGATCCAAGCCAAATCCAGGGCTAAATCTTACTAGGAACAACTTCTGAAATACAGCTTGTGTAACTAATGCTGTGACTGTGTTAACCAGTGCACCTCCTACAGCCAAGCAGTTAATTTATACATCATTAGAGAGGGAGGAGAAGAGGAAATAGTTTCAGCTCAATATTCTTTTCAACAACAAAGATGCCAGCTGCTGAAGATTGGAAGCAACTCGTCCTATTAAGATACTGAAATCAGCTGGGAAGTGGCACTGAGCAACAGTTGCATGCCAAGTAGAAGCTTTAGATCAGGCCATACATAATTTTATATTAAAGTCAAATGAAGACTCTTGCTACAGAGTTTGGCTGAATCCCAGTCAATGAGAGAGTGAGAGGCTGGCATACAGGTCTGAGGTCACTCGATAAAACAGCCTTTACAAAAACTACCTCTGCTTCAGACTCCCTTGGTTTGTGCCGGCCTCGTCCTTCTAGCCATCTGGTCTTGGGCCCACTTTTCCCCAGCAAATTAACTGTCTGGAGTTCAGGAATCTACTTTATACGTGAAGTGACTATTTTTGCAGTTTTTTTTTATCCTGACACATAGTAAGGAAACAGATAGAGGCATTGCTGCTTCTAATAATCAGGCTGCAGAGGCTTTCTGCTCAGTGGTTTATGGCTACAAAACAAAATATTGTTCTGCATGCTGATCTAATGTACCGGTGTGACTGAAATATCAGACTGAGTTGGCATTCGGAAGCAACAAAAACACCACAAAACGAACACTCTTAGTTGTTATCAGATTCTAGGGGGATTATCAAGAATGATAATAAAACTTATAGAACTAGAATGATAACGCCTAATTTTCAAAACAACAATTGCACTTCATTTGAACAGGGAAATAGTGTAGAAGAAAACACTCAGACCTGTAATAAGTCATCAAGATAGAAAAGATAGAATGATTGAAAGCAAAATAGACTGAGAGAGAGAGAAAATACCTTTTTATTGGTCAGCCAGGTACTTGACTCATGCAAAAACTCATCACATGCTTAAGAGTATCCAAACATATATATGCTACCTATACTTGGAAATGTGTCTGTCTAGAATGGAATGCATACTTGCTCCCAGGAGGGAGAATATTAGGCGCAGATTGGCAAAAGCCAAGGCTTGGGGACCCCAGAGGGTGCGTTAGGAGTACTGCTGGAGTTTAAGTAGGTTAAACCACACAGCTTGCCACTGCGAACACTGTCTGGCAAGTTTCCCCTGAGACATTAGGGTTTGGCTTGCTGTGTTAACAGGATCCCTGACCCCAGCATACCTAAATCAAGAGCAGCAAGATCTCTGAAAGCCCCAGATATAGCAAGACCATGTAATCATACATGAAAGTTAAGGGGTGAAGAGCAAAATTCGATACACATACATATGGGCTAAGAACATTTAAAATAAAATGGTGGAACTAGAGCCAAAGGTGGCAACTGGTAATGTAGTAGAAATCACAGAGACATGCTTAAATCAGGATGATGGAAGTGAATACAACTAACAAGGGGTACAGATTATTCAAGAAAGATTGAAATGTTTTTCATATTTGTTGGGCGATATCAAGGTAATTGAGCCAATAGCACAGGATAAACCATGGAATGAAATTCTCTTGTTAGATGCCCTTAACAAGAAAAGGGATAGACTTAATATTTTGGATTTGCTACAGACCTTCACTTTAATTTACAATGTTCACTGTGTGAGAAAAATAAAGGTAGTACTGATCGAGGTCTTTAAATCAGTCTAAACAAACTGGCAATGTCTAAGTGGGAAGGACTCCAAGCTTGTCAATGTAATGTCAGGAAGCCCACACGGAGCAGTTCTTTCCTTGATTTAGTTCTCGTGAGTGACCTGGTCACGATTTAGTGATCTAAAAGTGATAATTAATCTACTAGGTGACAGGGACGACAACTCAATAACATTCAATTTGACTTGGGAAAACACTTGCGCTGTACATAAATGCACTCAGATATTACAGAATTACAGCCTTGAATTAATTCATTATGGCACTGATCTAGGCTTACACCAGTGGGTGCAAGCTCCCCTAAATAACCTAGAAAACAAATGTTAAGAGGTGAGAATAAAGACCGAAAGCTTGCTCATTTGTGAGTCTTACCTTCTCATTCTATATCCCAATCAGTGAAAGCAGGAAGAAAACAAAGGCATCATTGAGGTAAAGACAGAAACCCAACACCCTGGTTAAACAGCTTTCTAATTAATCATTTTGCACATTCGGAGCTATGCTCAGCCCTTTGTCCCACCCTCCCACGCCTCCCCACACACTCCTGTAGCTCAGTGGTTAGAGCACTCGCCTTGCAAGCGAGACACCTGGGTTCAATTCCCGGCAGGGCAAAACCTTGGGCAAGTTTCCTTACTCCACACGCCTAATAATAATCCCTCCGAAACAAAACAACAATAATAAATTGGTTATTAATTGGTCATTTTCAATCCACGACTGTTTGTGGGACACTGCTGTGCCGTGTTTCGCCCACAAATATACAGTCAATTCACTGTACAGCATATTCTGTGAAGCACTAGAAGACGTGAAAAGTGCTGTATCAAATGCAAGGATTATTACTGGCTCCTGAAGGGGGCAATCTCCATTTGGAAGTTTGTTTCCATGGAGATCAGATGCACGGACATCCTTCAGTGTGTCAATCATGTAGAAGGTCATCACATGCAAGGCCAGACGATGAGAGTCAGGACGACTCGATCATGACTGTCATCACAGTGCAGCCTGATCCTGCTTCCTAGATAGCAATCAGAAGCACGGAGCTTGTGTTTGATTTTGTTTGCTCTCCTTAGGCCCAAGGTGCTGAGGCCAATTGTACTGTCCTTGAGATCAGTTCCCTTAGCAGAGACCAGGGATCAAGTCTAGGATTTCTGGTCTGTGCGACTCAGTTTCACACTGGGCAGTAGTTTTGACAACTGATCCACTGGGAAGTTGAAGGGTGTAAATCTATTCCACTACTTCTAACCACTTGGGAACAATGGCATAGCTGAGACGACAAACTCCATTCGTATTCTCAGCATGTTATGGGGAAAAGAAAGACAAACCCATATCCCATCTCTCCAGTACCCAGGGAGTTCCTGGATAATTTTGCACAGGAAATAACATGATTCATGTCAAGTGTGAAGGCAGGACATGCATTCTGATCTGGGCAGGAAAGTTTGTCACTAAACTGTTCATATGATCATTCCGCAATATAGTTGAAGAGATCACAGCAGCCCAGTGAGATACCCAATCTCAGTTCTTCTCCTGTGGGATGTATTGAGTACCAGTCAAGCACGTAGCCGCAGTACAGTACTGAAGCAGAGGAAGAGTTGCACTGGGCTCTCCTCACACTCTTTGCGAGAAGTTATTTAATACCATTGGCAGAGGATAAGCAGAGTGGTCACCAGATCATGCCACTGTTGTGGAAGGAGAGCAGCAGTGACAGAAACCTATTAAATTGGGTTAGAAACTGTGATATATTTCAGAGAAAGAAAACAAACTTTCAGATTGAAGCTTCAAACTGCAATCTCAATGAATAGGAAATTCCCCACACTTCAGGCCTCTGCACGAGTTTGTACACTGCTTGTGGACAAAGTGGTAGATGACTGTGGTGGGAACTTTTTTCAGCTGCAACCACTGGTCGGGCAGAGTGAGGGTTTCATCCACACAACAAAGATCCCCCTGTGCAGGCCTCAGCTGAACCTCAGGAGTGGGTACCCCATGCACCAATGCAATCCTATTAAATCAGATATCTCTAGGGTTAACAGGAGCCCAAAATATATTGATTTTAAGTCAAATGAGCTTCATTCCTTAATATGCTAAAACTCAAAATAAACCCCATTTTAAAACAGTGCCCTCACGATGCACAAGACTGTATTATCCAGACAAATATGCATCAAAATAAGCTTTAAACCTTTTATTCAGTTAATAAAATGCATTAAGACATATCATACAAACTCTATTTTGATATTCAGCTCCAGAAATCTGAACAAAATTCCTCCTATCGAGGAAATTAAACGTTCTCATAATTAAATGTTAAGACATAACGGACTACACTGAAAACCAAGTTTCTGATAGCAATGGTAAACAGGATGTACCTTGCGAAAATAAGCGTGTGTGTCAGGGCTATGTTTACACATTTCTATGACAAGGACAACAGCAGCATGGAGAACACCTTAAAGACAAAGAAAGAGAAGAGTGTTTTAACTGATGAATGTACCAAACGAGTGACAAGGCAGTGAATACAATGCTGATGACCCCACACTTCTTAATTCACCTTATTAGTCATTTCTAACCGTTGACATTTATGGCATTGGTGAACTGAAGGAATTATAACGGGAAAGGATTACAAAAGCACCCTTAAACCACAGACAGTACTTTTTTTAAAAAAAGCAAAGGCATGTTCCATCAAAACCCCTGTAAGATTTCCCTGGGCTGGTGTTGCCGCACAGAAGGTCTGGGCCTCAATACGATGTGCCACACAAACTCATGACGCTCGTCCTGAATATCCGTCTTAGCTATATAATAATGGGGCTCATCCTAGAGGCAGCACAAATGGCTTTTGCTCATTCTTGAGCACACTATTCCACAGGAGCATTGGCAGAGGCCTGGAAACTGACTAACAGGCAAGTTTCCTTAGGCAGTAACAATTCCTTACACAGTGAAGAGACAGAATTGGGCTTTGAAGGTGACTAGAAGTCAAGGTAAAAACAGACTGGAGATTAGCTCATTGCGTTGGTCTGCATCACTCATCACCCATTAGGCCAAGGAGAAAAATAAATCAACAAAGGTTCCTGCTCACTAGCCAGTGACCCAGCATGCCCCCCCGTGTCCCACCAGCTGAAACAAACGTAGGTGAAGTTCTTGTGGGGACAGGACTGGGCTTTGCTGCGATGCCCCTTGGGCAAATAAACTGCTGACAATTCACCGTTCAGGGTGACACATGTAGCAGGGCCACTTGGCTGAGGTACCAGAGGAGAGTTGGCAGCCATGATATTCCACCCTAGCATGAGTCAGCATCTTCGGGAAGGAAGGTGGGAACTGCAGGGACAACTGGAGTGGGGAAGGAAAGGATGGCAACTATTTGGTAGATAGTGGGAATTTCTCACTTATCAATATTCACAGGTCTACTGATTGCATTGATTAAGGAGAAACACTTATTGATATACGGCTGTGCTGTTTAATCTCCACTTCCTCCATCTCCCCCTCCAGCTGTTACTCTCACTATGAAGATTGGCATCTTGGTTTCACCGTCGTTCACAAGGTTAACATTCCTAAAAATTATTGGCAATAATTCACCTCATTTTCCCTTCATAATTCTAAGCAAGCTTGTACAAATACATTTATAAGATTCTAATTATTCCACAAAATTACAAATTGCATCAATAATCTAAATCCAATCGTACTTTTTAACAAGTCAAATTTGTGCAGTTTCAACTATAATGCAATTATAGGCCAGTTTAAACAGTACAGTATAAACAGTAACTAACTGTGAAATGCTTTGAGAAATTTTAATATTGCCGAAGGGCTATAAAATGCAAGTGCTTTCTTTACTGTCAGGTAAGATTCCTTTCAGGTAAATGTTAAAGATCTATGAGCTATCGTGGCCAACAATGCTCCAGACAAATTATCATTCACCTCATGTTTGGTGTGGAACTCTGCATGCCACAAATTATGTATATAGTTATAATCTTTTGTACAGTACTCTCTCAGTATAGTATACTTCATTGAGTATACTCTGACGGTTGCAGGTAGGAATGTTGCAGCAGGAAGAGACTAGGACATTGAATTTCTCAATAACTCTCCAGTGATGTGTTTAGGTTTGTTAATCCGAACACTGAGGGAAGAGAATACTCAAAATTGCTTTGAATAAGGTGTTTGCATAAAATAAAAACAGGAAATCTAACAATAGGGCCAAAACAGGGCTGCAGGTCATTATTTGTGACTCCTAATCCACAGGAACTTGCTCCTGAAGTAGACTGGAGCAGTTAGCGTGGGTCATTTGCCCCTCATTTCCTACCTTTTGAGATTATGATTCACTCCATTTCGGACCACAATAAGATGCCAGAAGTCCATGCAAAGTTGACCCTTTGTTACATTCCTGCTAATGTGTAATTATTTCTCAGGTATCTATTATTCTAACATCATCTGATCCGTTCTAATAGATTAGTTTGAATCCAGTCCAAAAGTTCAGGAGATTTTAACCCTTCGTGCAATGTAGACACATTTAATTGTCCAGGCACTTGCTCTGCAGGTCACCGATGAGGGCTGCTGGGATGTGCATGGAAGTTCAGTAAGAAATCCCTACGAGTTGTTCGAATTTGGAATGATCTGCCTGAAAGGGTAGTGAAGTCCGATTCGATAACAGCTTTTAAGAGAGAACTGGATAGGTATCTGGGGAAGACGGGTTTGCAGGGTTATGGGGAGAAAGCTAGTGATTGGGGTTAGTGAAAGTGACTTGCTCTGTCAAAGAACCGGCACAGAATGGCCTCCTTCTGTGCCGTAACATTCTATGAATCTATGAATGTGCAGATCTCGGTAAGAGTAAGGACCTTAGGCAGAAAAAAAGCTAATTTAAAGTTAAGAAAGCAGCAGGAATAGAGAAACAATGGAAAATAGAAGAATGTGAGATTAAAATGAGCAAAATCACTTTCGTATATTTCGTATATTTCAATATATACTAGAGTATATAGTTTGGGACACATGTCAAGCGACTGCCAGGATGGTGAAAGCAAACTAGATGGACCTTGGTTTTCTTTGGTCTAGCAACTTCTTATGTTCTTATGTTTTTAATATTATATGGTTAATATTCAGTAATAAAGTGGTCATCTGATTAGTTTTAATTTTGCAATTTAAAAATAGTTAGCGCAAGAGTAGAAACCTATGTTAAAAAAGGGCAGTCCCAAGAAAGACAGTCATTTCCCTTGATCTGTCAAAGTTTTGGGAGTTATGCTTTTTTTGGCTCAAGGATTTCCAAAGCCTGTTTGGAAAGTTTTGTTTGAATTGCACCTGGTTTCTTGAGTTTTATTCACAAAGGAGTAAATCTTCTGTACAGCCGGAGAAAAAAAAGTGCAAATGTGAGCTTACTGTAAATTTACAATATGTCATGGCAGACTAGGGAACAGGGTCACCTACCATGATTCTTATCATTCAGGAGATTTTTTGTGGCAGGCAGAAACATCTCCAGCAGCTCTGGTACTTTCCTGATGACATGCACAGCAGCCAGTGCTGCCTGTTAATAAGGCAACATCAATAATGAGTCATTCATATAAAGACCATTGACCGAAACACACAAACCTTTTAAATTTCTAGGAAAAGGCAACAAGTTTTCATTCCTGTATTTTCATTTCTTTCCAGTAAAATAAACAAACAACTGCAACAAAGTCAGAAACTGCTGGAAGGTTCACAAGAAAAGAATATCATCTGAATGAGAAAGATATGTTAAAGCTTTGTGTTCGACTTTTGACTAGAGCTCTCTCCCTCTCTCTTTCAGATGTTTTTCAAAGTGCTTTCTGATTCCTGGTTTTATTTTTCATTTGAATTCTAAGTATTTTTTTCAACAAAAAATGCTGAATATTTAGCATTACGTAATAGTATTTAGTATTTACATAAATTTCATGCAAATCTTATGACCTCTTAAATAAAATGCAGCAGTTTTCACAATGGTGTGGATTTAATCAGCAGATAGCGATGTCAAACAGGCAGCTACTGTTGTAGTTTGCTCCACATCACACTGAATTATGCCAGAAAAAAAAAGTTATTTTGGCAGAACATCAATGTTAGGTGTTAGCTCTGAATGTTATGAAAGGTCATGTTGCATCTCACCTTTTTACGGATGTAAGAGTTAGAGTTTTTGAGCAGTTTCTCCACCTCTCCTGCCAGATCTCTGCACATGTCTGATGAACCCATGCAACCGAGAGTGCACAGAGCCAGCCCTTGGACAAACTGCGTGCTGTGGCTCAAGTCACTAAGAAGGAACAAAACAGTTGGCTTCAGTATAAAGTGCCTTCACCTCCTAACTTTCTCAATGGTGCAACTGAGAGTGAAACCACTCTGTGATTGCATTCGCAAGGGTAAACCAGCAACACAAAATATTGGAGGGCAGGCACGCCATCACATCACAACCCGAGCTTGCTGGACAATAATCCCCCACAATAAAAATACTCATTCACCTCCAGGCTGGTTGTGGAACTTTGCTGTGTGCAAAATTCCTGCCGTACTTGTTTACAAAAAGAATCACTACACTTGACAGTAATTACTGAGAAGCCCTTTGAGACAGTCAGATTCTATAGGCTTTATAATAATCCAATGTCTTTCTTCCTGATAAAATTTTAATTGATAAAAATGTTCCTTGTAATCTACACGTTTATTTTTGCCAAAAAATGTGCCGCATCTTGGCATTTTTCCCACTACTTTTTAATGGGGCTAATTCAGGTTAAAAAACAGAAATACCTACTTCTTAAGGCAGTTTGTCATCAGTAGATGGACATCTTGTCTCTCGTCCAGCAGCAGCATAGCTCCAAGGTAACCGATCCGCTTATCTGTGAACCTCTGAGACGCTATTAACTTTAAACATTCAAGCTGTGCAAAAAAACATTAAAAATAGAGTCAGACGTACAAGCATTAAAATCTAATTAGATAACCTTGCAGAATGTTTAATTACGAGCAATATTTTTCTCCAAAACATTCTAGCACCTGTCACAGTATATGATTAAGTGGCTAAATTATTTATTTTTTTGAAGGGATTATTGCACCCGGAAAAATGATTCGCCAATCGACTAATAAACGGGTTAGTACGTTCTGCAGGGTAAACAGAGGTGTGTGGAGTAAGGAAATGGGCCCAACGTTTCGCCCTGCCTGGGAATCAAACCCAGGTCTTCTTGCTTACTCAGCGAGTGCTCTAACCTCTAAGCTAAGCACTCTTGACTTTGTTGGGGGTGGGAATAAATCAGTCTTCAGGAAGGAGACCCCCAAGTGTACCTGTCCAAAGTGTGCTGGGTAGCCAAGCATGTGCATATAGATGAGCTTTGCTACATTTCGGCAGCGGTATGTGTTATCTTCCTCACGGAAGGATGACCTGATGAGCGCACACTCTTTCTGAATGACATCCCGTTCTTCTGCTTGCGTTCTGGCCGCACGGATTGTGCGAATCAGCTCTCGCAATCGGACAGGAGCTGGCATCTTGCTGCAAGACAGACAAATGGGTTATCAGCATAGATCACTTGGAAACAAAGGGTAGAACCTCAACTCAGTACAAAATGGGCCCTCATTAAATGGCTAGTCAGACCTGCCTTTTCTGTATTGCAGGTTTGGAGAGCATGATTAGTGAAGACATCATTACTTCCAGTCAGCCTCATTTGTTACCATCATGAGCAGCACTCCCTTATTCACTTAAGCAAATAAACATGCCATGGGAGATGAATTCTATTTACAATACAATATTAGTCAGTGTTCCCTCCTGTACAGGAAGCAGTAAAAACCAAAACAACAACAACTTGCATTTATATAGCGCTGTTCACACAGAGTGTTTAACAATGGTGGAGCCCAAACACAAAAAAAATCAATATGACGAAATATTACAGGTTCTGAGATTGAACATGAAAGGAGTATTTTTTTCGGTCTGCCGGGTGTGTGACACACGCAGAAACCCATCACCGTGATCAGTCAGATGTCTGACACACACACACAAACACGGAACCCGAGACCATGATCAGCCGGGTGTCTGACATGCAGAAACCCATCACTGTGAAACAGCCGGGCGTCTGACACATGCTGAAACCTATCACCATTGCTTAAGAGTCTCCAAACCCAACTGAGAATTCCCTACGTATCACCTATACATGGAAATTCCAGAGACAGATTGTTGGAATGGAACGCGCGCACTCTCTCTCCCTGGAGGGATGCATCCTGCTTACCTGATTCCGGAGAGTATTAGGCGCAGGTTGGCGAGAGTCAAGGCTTGGGGGAGCTCAGAGTATGCGTTGGGGTAACTGCTGGAGTCTAACCAGCTAAAACCACATAGTTTGCTCATTGACAGCGCTGTCTGGCGAGCTTCCCGCTGCTTTGAACAACCTCCCTTCGCTCCTGGGTCAACTGTCTGGCAGGGTTTCTGAGCTGGCTCCGTGGGCTTTGCACTATTTGTTTGTGCACACACAACACTCAGAAAGAGACACACAATGTGTCAGGAGTTTGAAAAATAATAATCACAAACATTAAAGAAAACTGTATTAACATTCCACTGATGTCCTATTGGGTTAAAGTATTAAGTTGTACAGATCAGAAGGTCACAGATTGGAGTGCTGGTCTGTTCTGTGTTAATAGATCTCAGCTCAGAGTAGTCATGGGAAGTGGGGGGAACCTCTGTTGGAAAGTGATGAGGCCATGTAGAACTTGAGAAAGTTCAGGCGTAATGGCTCTCCATGGCTGAATACCTTGCTGAGATTGCTTTAAGCTCACTTATGAAAAACAGCTAGAAATGCCTTGGGAACCATTCCCAAACATAATAATAATCCTTGCAATTGATATAGTGCCTAATCGGGTCATCTCCTTATCCGAACCCCCAGCTCAGATGCAAATCTTTTGACTGTCCAGGGACGAGGGATGTCCTCCTGATGTGAAAGAGTTCCATGCATCCCACCTACACTGGCAAATTCCTGTGTATCGGAATGGAATGCGCATCTCTCCCTTCCAAGGTGCACTGAAAGGTGCACGCGTGTGTGGGTGCCGGGCGGGAACAACACCGGCTTTCACTGTGGATTATTCTTCCTATCCCCACATCCGCCCTGCCGGCCGATTAACACTCATTTCGAGGCTCAATATAGTACCAATGGCACTATAGGTTAACTGAAACCTGTGAAATTATAACCGAGTGGGAGTACTTACAATGAACCCATAACCTCTACTTCTCAAAAGATATCTGCATAGTTGATAAAATGAAATGCTCAAGTACCCTCTGTCAGTCAATGTCATATTATGCAGTATAAACTATAGTTTCTCTTTATAAAATACTATGCTTTGGCATTTTGCCTAAGATCACTTCTGGGCATCTGCCATGCGCCGTATTCTTCCTTTTCCCACTGTTAAATGATTGAGATATGTGTTTTGCATAAATGGCGCGCTGTAAATGTGTGTTGTTTAGGAAAGTGTACTGATAAAATAAATGACACTGGGTTAAAATTTCTACAAATTCTTATGCTAGACTAGACTGCACTTTGAAGAAGAAATTGATCTCAACCAGGATTGACAGTTGATATTGTTTGTAGACATTTTCTGTATTTTAACATAGAATCAGAGTTGCAGCAAAGAAACTCAGTATCCTCAACGTGCACTGAAACGCAACATATTTGAGCCAATGCAGCATGATTCAAATACGCACGATTTTCCAGCATCACGAGGACTGTACTCGATTATCTACTTCCAGTAATGTGCGCAAATTGCAGTACCGTTAAACAAGAATTGTGCCTGGATCAGACAAAGGTTAAAGATACGTCATACTCTTTCTTCCCAAATATCAACTGGCCCCTGAAACTAACATACTGTAAACCACTTGTTTTCTCTGATGTGGCTGACAAAGAGAGTCTTAAAATCCAAAGAATACCGTCATTCTTAATCTGATCTTATTTCGCGGAACCAGAAAACTGCAAATATTAAAGAAGTACAATTAAAAGTGAGCAACTGACTTACGTCTCAGTTCCCACTTTTTGAACCCACATTCGAGCTGAGTTTGCTGATCTCAGGCAGAATGGTGTCCTGGCCAATGAGACACCCACCCACATAAATTAGTTACTTACTTCATGGCTGTTTGCGCGGCACTGCGACATGCAAATTGGTTACTACATTTGGCTACAAATACACCGTCACAACACTTCACAGCAATTACCTGCGCAGCTCTTTCAGAGATGTTTTGATGTTAGCCACTATATCAAAATGCAAAAGACGTGTGCACGCATGGGCGTGCAAATATGTATGGACAGTCAAAAACAAAGATTGACTGTAAGTTCTTGAAATGTGTAAGCTTTCTTAAAGTTTTAAAATAAAATTGCGTTTGAGAGTCTTTCTCGTACTGAAGTACTGAAGACACCAATATGAAAGCGCTGTACGACAAAGTGGAGAATACATTGAACTACTAGAATTCTCAAAGAGCTTCACAGAATATACTGCAAAATGAATTGACTGTATATTTTGTGGGCAAAACCTGGCACAGCAGCCATAGGAAATGTTGTTTATACAACAACAACAAATTGCAACAACAAATTACATTTGTATAGTGCCTTTCATGTCAGGAGGACATCCCAAGGCGCTGGTCATACAGCAAAGGACAGACAATCACCGATATTCCACAGTACAAATTTTTGGTAATGTACACTTTTGCGCACTTACTAGTTTCCATGGAAGTAAAGCAGTACTCAGCATGCTCCCATAAGACTGTTGAAACATGCGCTGTAGCTTATGGTGATTGTTGCTCAGCGGGATCCAGCCTCGCTTCTACTGAAGAAAATCTCGACATCAATACAGTATGTCACAACGCCATGAATGACTGAGACAATGCTATTTTCTGCTCAGTTATACACATAGGATTTAAACAATTCATCTTACACAGATGACTGGTACAGTAAAACTGCACAGAGCTGCAGGAGTTTTGGTCTTAGGGAGCTACACAATAGCAGGTCCTACAGAAAAATAATCTTAATTGGGGGAGGGGGTCTCGATCATTACGGGAGCCACATTATAAGCCTGCCACTTTGACAACAACAACAGCAACAACAACAAATTACAATTGTATAGCGCCTTTTACGTTGGGAGGACGTCCCAAGGAGCTAATTTCACCACAGGATATCTTGTGCACAACAGTGAATTTTGAATTAATTCAGGAAGTCCACATGGGGAATAACCCTGAAACTTCCTTCCTGACATAAACTGTTCATCGGAATTTCCTCTAAACTGATGTGTAGTAATATTAAACCAGCCATTTATATTTGCGAGAAATAATCACCAGCTATTTTCCCTGTAAATTGAGGGTACTGTAAAACTGGTGCTCAGTTCAATTCATTCTGGGGGTTTTGGTAGGAAGTAATTTAAGTGGAATTATTTGACAATGTCATTAGGATCATCAGTGTGTTCTTTCCTGAAAACATTGACTCTTGTTGGGTGACGCCCCTCAGGCGCTGACTAGAATCCAGCACATCACTCATTTGGCCATTCTTCGTGAGTCAGCTTGGAATACAAGGCTAAGAAAGCAATTTCAGCGGCTCTTCAGTGTTGAAAGGAGATGGCTCACGGATGTATAAGATTTGTAGTGGAATTGAGAAAGTAAACCCAAACGATACTTTCGGACGCACTGACTACTCCAGGCACAGATTCAGCTTACAACAGTCAATTTCAGTTCAGACAACAGAAATTATTTATTTCCGCAGAGTAATTAATAACTGGAACAACTTAGTTTATAAAGGGTGGTTGAGGACAGGTCACTGGACATTTTGAGACGTCTCAAAGCGCTTCACAGAATATACTGTGAAGTTGATTGGCTGTATTTTGTGGGCGATTGCGCACAGCAGTGTCCCACAAATAGTCGACTAACAACCGGGTTCCTACTTATTGCTAGGTAAGCAAGCGTGTTCTGCAATGAAGAGATGAAGTGGACTGAAGGGGCCTTCTTCACCTGACCCGACTATACAAGATGGGAGTGAATTGTGCACTCCCCAGGCACATACATGTAGTTTACCAATTGAGAGCAAGAACAAACAGTATGCATGGCCCCACACGCCCAATTCACTTTGGAATAAGTAAAATGCTTGAGATTCTACGCAACTCCCAGCAGTGAGTTCCATTCTAGCCCCAGGAAGGAATCTGCAGCTAAATCTGATTTACACAACTGCAAAACGCTTGTAATTCATACAAAATGACTTTCAAATTGTTGTCGCACAGCAACACTGAACAACAGCAAGATTGCAATTGTATGGCACCTTTCACGTCATGAAGACGTCCCAAGACTTTGGACAGTCAGTATTTTGGACCCAAGCTGGGGGTCGGGACTGGGAGGATGGGGGAAGCAGGGTGATCGAAAGCAGGTCGAAGAGGAGGGTCTTGAGATGGGTCTTGAAGGAGGCAAGGGAGGGGGAGAGGCGGAGCGACTGCGGGATGGAGTACCAGAGGATGGGGGCAGAGTGGACGACGAGGAGGCAGAGG